ACGCTTCACATACCCTAAAATATGCAAATAAAATTGCATTTATTTCTTAACAAGTGGCATTTTCTATTCAATGATGGACACATTTAACTTGTAGAAAAACTCTGTTTTGTTTGCAAAGCTAACAAGCTGGGGAGGTTTTCCCTTAAAGATGTTTAAACTCAGTGTGACCTCTGAGAAGAATACGGTGATCTTTACACAAGATCATAACTGCACCATATGTGCTGTGTGTGTGTAGGGGGGGCATTTATAGCTGCCATGAGGAGGTCACAAACAATGAACCCGCCTGAATCAGCTTTGTTTAGATAATAGACAACACCCCCTCTTTACACACCCTCACAAACCCACATCTGACCTCCAATGGAAGCTAATGGGAACCATGACTGCTCCCCTGAATTAATGGAGGACTTTAAACCACTAAACGGCTTAGCATTCCCTGAAGGAATGCATATCACCCCCCCAACCTTCGTGCCAGAGTTTTACACGAAGATCTCATGAGAATTGACACCCTTTTGGTCAAACTTTGTAAATGACATTATGTTCAAGGTTCTTTATCGTCATTCGCATCACGTGGTACGAGGTGGAACGAAATTGTGTACACAAGGTCCCAGTTGTACAACCCAAAATATCAACATATAAAAAGATACAAAATATAAGGCTTTAAGATATACATTACGATATACGCTAAACGATACGTTAAAAGACCTAAGATATACGCTAAACACTAATAATGTAAAATAATACAATATATTAAACAGCAGCCCGAACATGAGTCTGTATAGTGAGATGGGTATGAATGAATACAACAGCATAAAGGCTGTGATCTTATGTGATGCTGCAAGAGCTTGTGATCCGTAAGTGCTTAAATCATGTTTTGTGGATGACTCAGCTACTAAAACACCAAATTTTAGCCCAAAATCTGTAAAATTTGAGTAAAAACGAGTGCATGGACACCATCTAGCAATCACTAAAATAATTAATTGTTCTAATCTACCTTTAAATCCTTTTTACAGGTATGTCTTCAAAAATTATTTGTCTTTAAAAGCTATCGATATCTTTACTGCTTCTCCTTACCGGGTCATGGGGAGCTGGTGTCCATCTTCAGCAGTGTGAGGGGCGGGGGACACCCTAGACATGTTGCAGGTCCATCACAGAAACATTTGGGACATCCAGTCACCGGCTCACCCAGGCCGAGCTGCCATGAGCCTATTAACATGCACGTTTTGGTCTGAGGGAGGAAACCCGAGAACCCACCTGTGCACAGGGAGAACATGCAAACTCCACCTAGAAAGGCCCCAGGCCAGGAGGCCAACCTGCAACCTTCTTTCTGAAGAGGGGCAGCTCCAACCCTGCAGCGATATCAGGATTTAGAAATGCTGCAAAGCAGATGAAGGTCCAGGAATTCCACATTTTTCTACATTTGGCGCGTTTGTTCATCCAAACTGCAACAGATCAGATGAAGTGCTGAGGTCATGACAGAACAGTAGTGTGTCACGTACCCGTGTTTTGCCCCACACATACATGAAAACGCCGTGTTTAATGATAAACATTATTTATTGCAGATGAAACACAGATGCACACTTTTCACACACCGTCAGCTCCGACAGGTTCGGAGCTGGAGGTGTTTACGGTTTCACGTCAGGACAAGTCGGTCTCACTCAGACTGTTTTCCACTCTCACTGAAACACGAGCAAGTTCTTCAGTCGTTTAAAAAAAAAAAAAAAATCATTTAAACATTCAGTCAATCATTGCGTAGACTGGAAACGTGAGGATCCCAGTCACAAGCGTTAAGGAAAACTGATGCATGAATGCTTCGAGCAAAAACAACTTCCAATCAAAAAGTGGTAAAGCTGAAAAACTATTTAAAAAAATAAATAAAACTGCTGTTAAATAAAATGAAACAAAACAATTTTTGTACGACACACGCTGATTTAGGTGTGGTTCTTCATCCGAGGAACTTAAACGGACTCTTCTGAAATCATGAAAACAACAACAGATTGCTGCTGGTTGACAAAATGTACAAGACTACATCTTCCAAACGGCCACACACACACACACACACACACACACACCGTGCCGCTGATGGGGAAAGATCAGATACAGTTAAAATCAACAACATTCTCTGTTGCTCTTGGTTCAACTTGCCGTTTTTGTTACAGTTCTGTTAAAACAGGCCTTTGAACCACAACTGCAGTTATTCTGGCAGGAAAAGAAAGGGTACCAGAAACATTTAAGGTCAACAAGAGGACTTGACTTTCAAGTTTTTACATCGATCATTTCCCCCAAACTACAGAGAACGCTTTGACTCAGCTAACGATTCAAAGAGGAAATAATTACAGGCTTTTGTTTGTGTCGATTATCCACAGGTACATCATTTCATCTACTTCACAGTGGTTCCCAACAGTAGTCCTTGAGGAACACCACCCTACACGTTTTAGTTGTTTCCCTGCTCCAACACACCCGATTCAGCAAGTTATTACTTCAAGGTCTGCAGAAAGCTTTATAATCACCAATTCATACAAATCAGGTGTTTCAAAGCAGGGAAACAAAACCTGCAGAATGGTGTTCCTCAAGGACCACAGTTGGGAACCACTGGTTTAGCACCACATCAACGTTATTTATTTGATTAAAAATAATAAGATTCACAACCTGGACAAATACAACTAAACTAAATTGCTTCCTAATGAGTTAATCCCTTAAAAGGGTTAAAGGATCTGAAATGTTCCATCTAAAGAGTTTGTGTGATTATTTTAGTCATTTTGGGTGAGCGGACCTATAATTCAAGTGAGATGTACAATGATTAAAAAAACAAAGTGACAAATGTAAATAAAAATAATTAAACATTTTCAATAAACTCATATTTTTTTCCAAAATAGAACATAGTAAATACTGTATATCAAATGTTGAAACTTGGAAATTTTACAATTTTTAGGGGAAAAAAAATAATAATTTTGAATTTGATAGCAGCAACACAGCTAAAGATAAAAGTTTGAAAAGGAGAATTAAAGGGCTGTAAAAAGTGAGGGGGATGAAAAAGAAACAGCTGGAGGAGCATTTTGCAGCAGATGTGGTCCGCTGGCAACAGGTGAGTAAATCTAAAATCAGCATTTACAACAGAAGCTAATTCTTAAAAGTAAAGATGGGCGGAGGTTCACCTGTCTGTGTAAACGCCGTCCAAAAAGAGTAGAACAAATTTTAAATCATTTTCACAATTGAAAATTGAAAAGGCTACATGTCCCATCGTTTACAGTTCACAAGATTTCAAGAATCTGGAGAAATCTCTGAGCTCAAAGGTGACTGGATGGTCAAGATCTTCATCGTGCAAATAAGAAGCCGTACGTGAAAACCATCCAGAAACGCTGCCGTCTTCTCTGAACCAAAGTCCATTTCAAATGGACTGAGGCAACGTGAAATAGAGCTGCATTTGGGCCCAAAAAATCCAACCCAGCCCCAGCCCGTAGCCATCATTTCCGAACCCCACCCGACCCGACTAATTAACAGTAATTACAGGTCCAAACACTCCACCCCCCATGACATTTTTAACTAAGCTTTGATTGCTTATATAGTTATTAACGGTCGGCGGTCACGTGCGGCTGAATAAAAGGTGCAGAAAATCGGAGCTGAGGGGGTGTTTGTCCTTTCATGGCCGCCAAAGCGCAGTAAATCCCTGCTTCTGCCTGCACTCTGCATTATTCAGACACGGACCCTGCTCTGGCATGTCTGCTTTGGGATCTCAGCTGTTTGGGTCATCAGGCATGTGTCCGCTGAGTGCAGCGACTGAACGTCTGTTTGGGCGATGGATCACTTCCGGGCAGTACCAGTAGTCCCATCTGAAGCTTAATTGAACTTTATTTGACCTCTTTCAAGGTCGGTCAGCTTGCGGTCAAATGGCCATGTGCAACTGGTGGTTGTATGGCAAGCCATGTTGCCATATAATTGGATTGTATGGCAAGCCATATTGCCACATAATTGAATCGTCAGCCCAACACTGACCCGGACCAAATTCAGGTCGGGCCGGGCTTCGGGCCCGGGTTAGAAATGACAGCTATAACGTGAAAAAACGTTCTGTGGTGAGAGGAATCAAAATTTGAGTCTTTTTGGGAACGATAAACACCACATCCTCTGTACTGAAGAGGAGAGGCACCGTCCAGCCTGTTACCAGCCCAAAGTTCAAAAGTCTGCCTCTCTGATGGTATGGGGGTGCATTGGTGTATCTGGCATGGGCAGCTTCCACATCTGGAAAGGCACCATCAACGCAGAGAAGTATACACAGGTTATGTAACAACTTGTGCTCCCATCCAGCAAAAATGACCCAGGTCTGTCGAACAGCTAGAATCCAACGAGACCAGAACGGGACGACGTTCAGTTCCTCGACGTCGTTAAAAGAAGAGGAGGTGCTTCGCAGCAGCAAACACGACCACGTCTCAACTTTTTTTTTATTTTTTTTTTTATGTGTTGCTGCTATAAACCTCAAATTATAAGCTTTTAAAAAAACAGCAACATTTCTAAGTTTCAACATTTGAAATGTTCATTGAATATAATATGGATTTATGAGATTTACAAATCATTGTATTCTGTTTTTATTCACGTTTTACACAACGCATCTTTTTTTTTTCCTTCCAGAACTGGTATTCCAGACTTTTCAGCTTATTTATACTAAACAAACCTTGTCAATGTAACAGACACACACATTGACGTGAACACAAACATCACAGTAATCAGATTTGTCCACTTTGCAGTACCAGAACCCAGTAAGGGCTGGACAAAGAAGCACCGGGGGCTCGGTTTTCTTCCACACTTGGAGGAAACGACGGCGCTTCAATAATTCATTTAAACAGCACCAAATCACGTAAGAAATGTGATTTCTTACCAGAAAGAACCCTCCAGTAGAACCAGTTAGATTTAATATTTTGGTTAGAGCAGACCATTTAAAAAAATAATAATTTTGGCATCTTTTTTTACAGGTAAAGAAAGGTGTCCAACTACAACTTCTGACTTCAGTTAGACGATTCTTTCTTTATAGCTGCAGCCGCAGGGAAACGTCCCATTAAAGCTCGACATCTCAGCAGGATCTGACCACCCTCATGTACACAAACAGCACTCAGGCAAAATAAATGACAAAAATCGAATCAAAGCAATAAATACCAAGCACACAGTGCTCAAACTTTAAATTTTACAGCTCACCTTTTCAACTTGCATCATTTTCTTCTTCTCTTTCCAACAGTTCATCCCAATCCCGAAACTTTGCATTAAAATCCACCGCAAGCGCACCTTTACTTCCTCTCTCTGTTCCCTCCAACTTACCCGACCCTCTGGCTCCTCGTCAACGCAGAGCGCGCACTCAAACACACACGCGACAGTACAGATCAGTAGGTTTCAGATTCTTCGTTTGGCTATGCACAATCAAATCAAAACAACTAAAGCACAGCGACAACACACGCAGAACCACAGCTATACATCAGTAGAGACCCGGCGGTCGTTTGGTGTCCAGCATTGTGATTGGTTGATTGCAGAGACGCTTCAATCCCCCGGTTGATTAACAACGATTACTAGAGGACAGACTTGAATCCCGGCAGGGTCGGTCATATTTGGCTGTGATGATACACCACCCTGTTCAAGAAGAAAGGAAGATCTGTGTGAGTTTTACTCGTTGTTTCGTACAGAACGAACAAAAGAAGCAGAGCGTCTGATCTTTAGAAGTCAAGCATAGGTGGATTTGTTATGATCAGTAGAAAAATAGCAGATTTGTTACGTTTTTTTGGAGGTAAAACAACTAAAAATAATACCTTAAAGATACTTTACAGAAAAGTTTAAGTCTGTAATCCAATACCTAAATGACTTCAGTTGAAGAAACTGCCACTTTAGCCTTCAGACTCTGTTCTTGGACTCTGCTGCAGCTTTTATTTTTGCTGTTTGAAATTTAAAGCGCCACAAAGCCGATCTGAGGGACACGAAGGCCGGCCGTTTGGAAAGACTTGTGCAAACAAGCTCAGAGATGATAAACAAGATGTTTAGTCATCAAATCCTTCACGTTTTCACATAAAGCATGAGCGAATGAGCCTTTTGCTGCCGTCTTCTTCCAACAAAGAGAGGAGAATTAAAATAACTGGTTTGATTTTGTTACTGTGCAAGTTGCTAAAACTATGTTAGGGCTGATGGTGTCCCGATACCAACCTCAAGTACTCATATTTGTACTCATAGAAACACCCTGACACTTGGCACCAACACCACTTTTATGCTTAGTGACATCATTTTCTCTTCCACTTTGCAAGAAACTGAGTACAAAAAATAACTGTCCTTAATTTTGAGACATTTTAAAATAAACTCAGGTGTTGAGACTGCTGACTGGTTGCTGTGCTCTTCTCTCTCTTCTCTCTTTCGCTCTCGACAAAGACGGTCGCTCTTACTCTCCCTCCCTCCTTCTTTTTTGCTCTCTTGTCCAGTCAACCTCCTCAGAGCCTCTCTTTATACATTTTCCAAATCAAAAATTATTATGGATTTGGTCAGCTGGTCCCTCAATGCAATTGATAACATATTTTCCACCAGAGGACAGGGTGCTGGAGAGCCCTCATGCCCTGAAAGGACCCACGCAGCTGGGTATGTCAATGATTCCTGGGGGCAGTGGAAGATGATGTGCCCATCTGTTCTGTCCGTGGAGGATGTAGAAGCTGTGCACATTATTGGATTTATAATAACAGGGTTTCTGCTTTTTGGAATCGGCAGATACCTTGGATATCGACAAATGAGGAAGACGACAGCAGCTGTTTCAGCAGTGGTAAAGCTGCCGGCCTTATGTGAAGGAATAATTCGTGCCTCGAGCTCTCAGACTCATACGAGCTCAACTGCAAGCTGGACGTGATTTCTGAGAATCGTAGGCATCTTGCGTCTCCTGGAACTCGCCGGCATGAAGGTTTCAATCCTGGATAGAGCTAATCGAGCGCGGACCAAGCGGAATGTCCATAAATCTGGCTGTTTGGATTCACCATTGAGTGTACCAGCAGAACTGAAGGCAGACAGAAATCAGAGTCTGGCGGCCCAAACAATTGTCGTTTATCTGAATTCAGCCTCCCCGCTGGCCTTGGACAACTCTAATTTCTCCTGGAGGATACGTAAGCTAGAAGCTTCTGCCTCCCCCTCCCATGGTCTTATCAGAATTGTGACGCTGATAGACACTGTACCATCTTATCAGAACTTTGGAACTTTCCGGAGTGTCCATGGACTACTCACCGCCATTGTTGTCCCCTATGCATAAATGTACATGTCTTATGTCTATTTATGTTACTTTTTGTGCCGAGGTCATTTCTGATCCCCCCCTTTCCTCATGCTGTCACTTCCTTATCTAAAAAGGTGGCGCCGCTCAAGTGGCTGTAGCTTAGCCTCCCCATGTATGTCTCTGTTTTGTTAATGCACTTTGGTAACAGTTCCTGTTTTAAATGTGCTATACAAATAAGTTTGACTTGACTCTTAATAAAATAAATGCGTTGCTAAAGCCATTGTGCAATGTTTAAGGACAAACTCATTAACTACTCGGCATTGGTAAGTACCCAATATGAAGTACTTGTACCCCTAGTTAGGGCAGTTTAAAATAACTGAGTTAGGTCATATTTTCATGCTTTGCAACAGTTTTTAGTGTAATTAAACATCTTTAAAAAGAAATAGCATGAAATGTCTTACTGGTTTTTTGATGCTCCGTCAGCATTTTAACCTGCTAAACAAAAAAAAAAAGTTTTATTAGCAGTCAGCACGAAAGAGTGCAATCAGAAAATACAACAAATGACAGTGTTTTTGTTTGACAGGCACCGTAAAAACAGCCAGAGCAGTTTTTAGAAAACAACAAAAAATAAAAACCACAGCTACAGACTTTAGATGACAAGTGCAAAACTCAAACTCTTTAAGACTTAACCGCGTGGAAGTGGGCCTCCTGCCTGTCTGTTGGGAGGTTACAACTGCAGCTTCATTTATTCTAATGAGCCAAGGAAGCAGACCAGGAAGTAGTTCGACCGCTGCAGGAGGTCCTCTTGTAAAAAATCCAGGGGCTCCATATCGTACAGCTAATGAGACGGTGTGTTGATATAGACTACAGCCGCGAGCAGCCGGAGAAGCAGGCTGAAGTCGAGGTTACACGAACACGGATGTTGTAGGCAGGAAAAAAAAATCCACCGAGTTTCAATTTAAAGGTTTAGAAATGTGCTCCGATGTTAATTTTATATGAACAAAAATAAGAAATTTGAAATTTCTAGGAGCCGATAAGCCACTTGGCTTGGAGTGAGTGCTGATAGAGACGTCTAGATCAAGAAGTGTTTGTCCCCGATACAGATCTGTGGTTTGAAAGTAAAAATCGTCGGACACAGACGAAACATCGAAATGAGCAGCTTTACGTTGACAGCTGAGGTGCACTGTGCTTTCATTCAAGTAGAATTTAGTCTTTTAAAACTGTGAAATAGTGAACAGCTACTTTCCCTTGGTGTACTCCTGTAGGAAAGCTTCAACTCTACCCATAGACCTCAGTTAAAAGAGAAAATCATAGATTCAAGAGGTTTGTGGAAATTGAAGCAGGAAGCCTGAAAACAAATTTGTTATTTACTTTATTTGATTTGTATTTGAGGCTTTTTATTCATTTCCTAATTTAGTTGGTCACTGTGTTTACTGGTGTAGACTTAGCAAAGGAAAAATTAAAAGACGATACTGATTACTTACAAATTAATCCATTTATTAATTCAACCTTTATTTAAACGGGTTAGTCCCACTGAACGAGGACTTGTTTATAAGAGAGTATACAGTATATGTTCATTGTTCAAAAAAAGAATAGCTATAACCTCCCTGTTAGCCACCTTCTAACGCCATGTAAACGTTTTTAATCATCACTTTAAGTTTGTTAGTGACTTGTGAGTTAAGTTAGTAAAGATAGAGTGCAATAAAATATAATTATTTATACACTGTAGATTTACCTCTGTCCTTCCCATTTAGCAACCTCTCCTCCTCCTCCCGACCTTCATCTGTCAGGAGCAAAGGGCATAAAGTATCAATGTGTCTTTTCTTACTAACTTTAGATTTTGACTCAAAACTTTAAAAAAAAACTGCTCGACTAAACAGGTTTCCTTCATAAGCATAAACTTTTATAAACCTCAAATAAATCCTCAAAAAAAAAAAAAAAGAAGACATGCAGATAAAGTGAATGTTTGTGTGATGTTATTTACCAGAGTGGAGCTCTTTGACCAGTGAGGACACGGTGTTGGTGATGGAGTCGGCTGCTACAAGGAGGTCATTTCTCAAGTTTCTTCTGGGGCCTGGAAATACAAAAATGCTTATTTATGATCCAGTATGAACAAAACGCATGATGCAAACGTGTTCAATACTTAATTTAAAGGGTTATACTGACTCAGTGTGGTACCAATTACAACAAACAGTAACACAATATAATATAACACAGTATGTTACTGGTATTTACAGGGTCGTTACTTGCTATAATCATGGCAATTACTTGAAACCTACCTGGTACTTACTGGATACAAAGCTAAAATGTACACGGTACACACCCCATAAGTAAAAAGTACATAATTGGTACGCACAGTGTAACAAGTCCCATCAAAATACAGCTTAGTACCTGTAAGTAACGGGTATGTACGTGCCCCGTAGATAACAGGTGCGTACACGACGAGTACCATCACTACCAGATAAATACCTGATAGAACCCTGTAGGTACCAGGTACATAAACTATATGTGTCTTGTAGATACCTGGCATGTACTTGGTGCATAGTAACTGGTATGTATCCTGTAAGTTCTTGGTATGTACCCAGTACACAGCAGGCAAAAACCCTGTTGGTAGCAGGCCAGTACCCAGTACATAGCAAGTACGTAGCTGGTACCTACAGGATACATACAAAGTACCTAGTAGGTATCAGGTACTTACCCAGTATATATCAGGTATGTAGGGGCTGTATTATGTATTGCTGCCAACGATTATTAAAATTAGTGGTCAAGGCTGGTTTTTTTTGCAATAAATAAATAAATAATATAAAAATAATAATAATTAGGAAAAGATTTGTATTTTTTTTAACCATCTAAAACATATTTCTCAAAGTTAAACACAACTTAAAGCTCACTGCATTAAAAGGCACAGACAAACTGATGCAAAGAGTTTTTATTATTTTTACATATTTTTTTAAATTCATTAAAGCCAAGTCAGATTTAATGTTCTTGTGAAACAGGAAGCAGCATCTTCCTCAGAGAACAAGATGCTTTTTTTTTAAACTTCTTAACTAATTGATGTTGACGTGACTGGTTTGACAGTCCACTATAGACTGCTCAGGTAAAACTAACCTGGAACACTGAAAACATGAAACAGCTGGCATCAGGACATAAATAACAGCCAAGTGTTAAAAACTGAAATCATGAGAATTATAGTACAGCAATTTTATGAATCAAGTTCACTAATTTTGTTCTTACATTTGTGCTTCAAACTGATAAAACAGGGAGTTTTAGTTAAAACCTTAAACAATAAAGTCTTAAACAACTAATTTAATCAATGTTTTCCTAAAATGAAGGTCATATATTCTTCTAATTTGAACTAAAAACATTGAGTAATCGGGTAAAACTGTAAAACACAGTTAAGATTGTTGCTGGAGAGAAATCCGAGTGGTACCTTGAGCGAAGGCCTCTTGAACATCGCCGCCCACCCCAGCGAGGGAGTCTTGAGGGAAGTGCATGTGAGCCTGAGGGGACGCAGCGCCTACAGAGCGCACGGTCGTTGGCCTCAGTCGAGAGGGCGAGGCGTGAGAAGAGCCGGCTGCTTGTGCCTACGAGATCAACTTATGATGAACGTTGTAGACTCAGAGGACAAAAAGAGACCGAATGTTTTCGTTTCTGTTGCCGACAGCTGAAAAGGAAGCGCAGCCTATTTACTAAAAAAGCTGATTTGTTGGGAGTTGTGTGAACATTCACACTGTTGTGATCCATTTTTCTTCCGTACGTATTTTGGTGCGATTCTCGTCCTGCAGTTTTCAAGATATTTCAACAAATCAAAACTTTCAGCTCTTTCAGGACAATCCTGCTATCATATTTTGGTATTGGTGCAGCTTTAGCTTTTTGAAATATTTAGCCGTTTCTGCCACTTTTTTTCCTCATAGAAAATGAACTGAGCTCATTTGACATCCTTCAAATCTTTAGATCTGTTCACAACCTTTTACTGCTCCTTTCACATTTTGTTCTGGTTCAGCTTCTTTTAGCTTCTTTGTGCAAATTTAAACTTTTTTCCAGCAACTTTCAGCTCATTTCAGCTATTTTTTCAGCTGTTTTGCGCTCCTTTCAGATTCTTTGATAACTACAACATTTTTGTGCTTCTTCTAACTTCTTTCTGCTAATTTCAGCTTGCTATACTCCTTTCAGCTTATTTCTGCTAGTTTCAGTTATTTCAGCTACTCTTTAGCTGTTTTATGTTAATTTAAGCTTTTTCAGCTAATTTCACATATTTTTGCACTCATCTAAACTTTTTCCAGCCTAATTCAGCAAAAATATGTTCTCTCCACGTCCTTCTTGTAACTTCAGCTTCTTTCTGTTTTTTAAGCTATTTTTCAGCTGGTTTTTGCTAATTTCAGCTTTTGTTTTCAGATCATTTCCACTTTTTTGTGCTAATTTTTGCTTCATTCAGCTTATCTGGGCAAATGTGTTTTTCTGCTTTATTCTGCTAATTTAAGCTTGTTCTACATTTTCAGAAACCGTTTTAGCTCATTTTAGCCGTTTTCAGAGAAATTCACGTTTTTTATGGTAATATCTGCTAATTTCAGTCTAATTAACTTAGTTATGCTCTTTTCAGATTATTTCTACTAGTTTGTTATTGCAGCTACTATTTAGCTGTTTTAATGCTAATTTTAGCTTTTCAACCAATTCCACATTTTTTTTTACACTCATTTCAACTTTTTTCAGCTTAATTCAGCAAAAATGTGCTCTTCACTTCCTTTTGGTAATTTAGGCTTCTTTCTGCCTTTTTAAGCTAATTTTCAGCCGTTTTATTGCTACTTTCAGCTTTTTTCAGATAATTTCCACTTTTATGTGCTCATTTCTGCTTCTTTCAGTGTAAATGGGCAAACGTGTTCTTTCAGCTTGTTTTACCTTTCCAACTACCTGTACTTCTTTTAGCTAATTTCAGTTGTTTTCATATAAATTCAAAATTTTCGTAGTAATTTCTGTTGCTTTCAACCTAAGTAACTTCTTTCTGCTAATTCTAGCTTGTTACACCAGCTTCTTTCCGCTAATTTCAGCTTTATCTGCTATTTCAGCTATTTTTTTTTTAGCAATTGTGTGTTAAATTTAGCTTTTTCAATTAATTCCACATTTTTTAGGTCATTTCAGCTCTTTTCACTTCCTTTATGTAGTTTAAGCTTTTTAATGTCTTTTCAGCTACTTTTCAGCAATTCAGCAATTAGCAAAATTTTAGCTTTAATTAAGTACCGGTAGTTAATTTACTAATTTTTGTGCAAATTTCTACCCATTTAGACCTAATTCAGCAAATATGTGTTCTTTCTGGTTTCTTCTGCTAACTTAGGCTTGTTCTTCCATTTCAGATACAATTCAGCAGGGTTTTAGCTAATTTCAGCTGTTTTTCAGAAAGTTCTTCAACAATAAGCATTTTCGCAGGAAATACAATTTCTCTTAGGGTTCTAGTTCAGAACCCTGGCTGGATCCCACTGTTACTCCAGTGTGCGTTTCATAAAACGAGCGTGAACTTACTGCCTGTCGCTGCTCCTCATCCTACAGGAAGACAACAAGGGCAGCCAGAAACAAACAGGGAGAGAAGAGGATGGAAAAAATGAAGGTCAGATACAATCAGAGCCAGAAAAAGGGGAAATCAGACAGGAGGAAACGGCAGTGATGAAAATGTTATAGCAAGGACAGAAACGTGGAGATGTAAGGAAGCAGGAAAATGTCCATGTGACGACTTCCTGAAGATGGTGGTTCACCTTAAGCAGCTTCATCAGTCCCTCCAGCTGCACCATCAGCTCCCTCCTGCTCTCTTGCAGAGATGACATCCTCTGCTCCAGCTCATCTTTCCTCTGCCTGCAACACAACAACCGACACCTCGTTATGGCGCAGGAACAAATAATCCAAGTGCAAACAGTCACTGGCGTCACCAAAGCAGACTGGAAAATATAAACAAAGTCAAATTAGAAACAAGACAAGTAAGACTTGAAATCAAACTCCTTACGCCACAAATAGTTAAATTACAGGGTAATAATTCAAACTTTATTTTTGTTGATTTCGCTTCAATCTGATGAGGTCAGTGAAGATGGAAATGAGCTTCACTTCACAGTGAGAACGATATTAGTAAAACCTAAAGAGAAATCTGGGTGAGAACTTTTCCAGAGGAAACTAAAACCCTGAAGTCGTTGAACGTGAGCATGGATTACTGGAGATCAAAGGACGGGGAAACGTTAGTCCTAAAAATCCCCGACAAGTTCCTGAGCGTTCGTTCCTGAGCTGAACGAGAACATCAATCTGAGATAAGCAGCAGAACACCAAAATACTGCCAACCTTGTGCAACCAGTACTAATAAAATACTCTAAGCATCAATTTTAATACATTTTCACAAAAATAATCAACAAAAAGGTTACTTAAATTAATGAAAATCACATTGCTTTTGAATTGTGGTTCAACAAAATCTGCAGCTGTATTTTATTTATACAGCACTACAGCGGCGCTCCAGTTTTGGCTCTCAGTTCTCTGAGTTGAAAAGGAGGCGCCGTGGACGAATTCCCGTCAACCTGGCGGCGGTGCTCGAGTACCTGACCACCGAGATCCTGGAACCGGTGGGAAATTTGTCTCATGACAACGGGAGGACGGGATCATCCCCCGGCCCCTTCAGCAGTTTGTTCGTGGCGACGAGGAGCTCGACACATTGCTGGACCATCACTCAGGGAGGAATTCTGCCCGGCATTCAATTCAGGCAGTCCTGTTGCCCAGGAGGACCGAGAGGCCCGCCGGATCTGACAGCAAGCTGGATCCGGGTGGACGGATCGGTATCTGTGGCCAGATTCTTCAGATTCGCTGCAGGAGATCCTTCCTGCCCACAACTATCAGCATCTATAACAACTCTTGAATAAAACCAGGATGATGACCACACTTAATTTCCCTTTGGGTTTAATAAAGTATTTTTGAATTGAATTAATGAAACCGAACTTGACTAAAAGAACGGTACCCTGTAAAAAGAATGAAAACAACATGTCCCTGTGGTTGAATTAAACTAAGGTGTGTCTTGTAATCAGTATCTCAGGCGTCCACAGTCTGAAATCAGTCAAGCTGCCTTTTTAAAGAGTGGTAGTAGTCACTGTGCTGTTTGGTCTCATGGTGTGTACCACGGTGAACATTAACCACAGAAAGTCACGTTTTCGCAGGAGCTTAGAAAGAAAGATTGAGCAGCAGGTTGAAGGGTCGTCTCCAAGAAGCTTGATGTTCCCGTGACTACAACTGTGCAGATTATTCAGAGATTTAAGCTTCAGAGGACTAGAGACAACCTCCCTGATGTGGCTGCAAGAGCAAAATGACAAATCATACAAAAGGTAACCAAAGTGTCCAAAACAATTTCAAGAGATCAGAGGTGAACTCCAAGGTCAAGGTCCATCAGCGTCAGGTCGCACCATCGGTCACTGTTTGAACCAAAACAGATTCGATGGAAGACGACAGAGGAGGACACCAAAATCCTACAAAAGTCAGAGTGGAACTTGTCAAAATATGTACCGAGAAGCCACCGAGCTTCTGGGAGAATGAGATCAATGAGAACAAAACTGGAGCCTTTTGGCAACGAGTCCCATCAGCTCCGTGTTCACAGACCCAGGAATGAAACAAATACAAGACGACTGTGCCTACAGTGAAACACGGAGGAGGCTTGGTTCTGTTCTGGGGATGCTTGTGCAGGGTACAATAAAATCTCAAGACTATCAAGGCATTCTGGAGCTAAATGTGCAGCTCAGTGTCAGGAAGCTTGGTCTCAGTCACAAGTTAGGGGTTTTATCCTTTTTGTCAAGGCCAGTTTGGACACAAATGATTTTGTCTGCGAGGTGTTCACAGTCACTTTTTCTAAGCAATAATTTGTCCTCATGGCACAAAGCAGGCAAAAAAAAAAAATACAGCATTTGTTTTTCTCTCCTGGCTTTACTTCACTTGGTAATAAGAGAGTAAATAAATAAAACAAAAGTCTGACTCATAAAGTCCAAAAGATCGTTACGGTACTGACACTCTAGCGGTGACTCAGCCGTTCACTGACCGGGTTCTAAACACAAACTTGAGCAATGAAAATTTCAGATTTATTGCAAAAGATTTCTGTCCAGTCAGAATATTTAGGAATACAGATTTATTTGACTTTTTGGACTTCACATCAGAAAGCAACGTGAAATACAACAACTATAAATCACAGCTTGGTAAACATTTGCTGCCAAACAGTCAAGAATAAAGAAGCCAAAAATTACTTTAAAAAAGATTAAAAACAGAGAAGAGCAGGGCTGTTCAACGAAACTTCTCGGGGGGGGGCCACAGTTACTGAAAACTAAGAGCTCAGGGGCCGGACATCCAGCAGTTATCGTCATTAAACGAGTCGGAGGTGCGAAGACGATCAGATACCGTCGTAGTTTCGACCAGCGATCCAGCAGCATCCAGGAAACCAAAGTCTTTGGGTTCAGGGGGGGGGGGGGGGGGGGAGTATGGCTGCACAACTGAAACTTCAAGGAACTGAAGAAGGGCACCACCAGGAGTGGAGCCTGCGGCTTAATTTGATTCCACACGGGAAACCTCACCCGGCCCGGAAAGGACTGACAGACTGATAGCTCTTTCTCGATTCTGTGGGTGGTGGTGCATGGCCGTTCTTAGTTGGTGGAGCGATTTGTCTGGTTACCGTAAATGTCGCTGTGTAAGTCGCAGTTTTTTGCATAAATTAGAATGCCTGCGACTAACACACCGAAGTGACTTATGGTGTTTATGTTTTTTCTCCATATTTATAACACAATTTTTGGCTGAGGTCTGACAATTTCATACATTCAGACATGGAAAATGTAGAACACTGCCATTTTAAGCCACTAGGGGCGGTCGACAAATATGACAAGCAAAGTGTCTCATAAATAGGTAAAAGTGGCTATTAATGAGACGCTCGGCTTGCCATACCAAGCCACCTTCGTCTCGCTCTGGAACTCCTGGAACAAACGTCAAATCAGCTGCATTTTGCTGCGACGCCCAGGTGAAATGCAGCTGATTTGACCATTAAAGTGCATTTATTAAGGAAAAGTTCAACCGAGACACACCTTTACTATAATGTCGAGAAAAAAAAAGGTTTTAAGTGTTAATCTTGTTAAATTCTTGTTAAAGTCCTCCCGTGCACGCTCCCACGGCTGCCATTTGGCAGCAAATGGATTTCTGGCACAACACCGGTCTACGTTTCCGGGTTGTCAGCGGCGGCGCATAATACAAGAGACTTATGCGGCGAAGCGACTTATTTATGTTTTTTCCATTTTATTAGATATTTTTGGACTGATGCGACTTATACGGCGGTGCGACGTGTACGGTTAATTCCGATAACGAACGAGACTCTAGCATACTAACTAGTTACGCGGCCCCATACGGTCAGCGTTCAGCTTCTTAGAGGGACACGTGGCGCTCAGTCACGCAAGATTGAGCAATAACTGGTCTGTGTTGCCCTCGGATGTCCGGGGCTGCACGTGCGCCACACTGAGCGGACCAGCGGGTGCCTACCCTTCGCCGAGACGCACGGGTGACCCGCTGAACCCTGCTCGTGATGGGGATCGGGGATTGCAACTATTTCCCATGAACGAGGAATTCCCAGTCATGTTGAAGTCATTACATCATGCAGACATGTTCCTGTTTTTAGTATTTTACCTCGTTTCATTATGTAGCTTTATTTTATTTAGTTTTAGATCACTACTTTTACTTACGTTTTATTTTATATGCATTTTATGGCTGTTTATTGTTGTGTGAACCTTATTTTATCGAAATCAGGTCTCTCTAGTAAATGAATCCTCATCATGACTCAATGAGACTACCCTGTATAAATAAAGGTTAAATGATAAAATTGTTTTATTAAAAAAAAATGAACCTACTGGTGGGCCGAACTTTGCTTATCCGTGGGCCTGATTTGGCCCCCGGGTCACCAGTTGAATATCCCTGGAGTAGAAGATTTAACTGACTTTGAAACCAGTTAACTCGCTGAATGCAGCCGATTCAGCGCCAAATTACAGAATAAAATAGGTTAAAAAAAAAGCAGTACGATAAAACCTTATTTAGATATACTGTAATTATATATTCTACTGCGTTTTGTAACCAAAAACACTACAGCTACAGCTACACAGGCTCTTAAGCCTCTCAGTACATGCGACTCAGAACTGTTTGTTACGTGCAGGCAGCCTGTGATTCAGACTTTAACACAGATTTATGAAGTATTTGCCGTTTTTTTGATGGTTCGTTGAGAAAAAGATGAAAAATAAACAAAAGTCCTACTGCCTAATGCACGCAAACTGAGCATTAATAATTAGGGACAAATGATAAGATTTACCTGGAAGAGACAATATATTGAGTTTTGTTTTTTATTTTATTGTTGCACGTTTTGCAAATTTGTTTCTGTTGCTTCTATTGTAAAATAACTCCAATCTTCAAGCACAAGAGGATGATTTATTTAAGCTTTTGGTAGTTTGCTCAAACCTAAATTTCAACTTGGACTTAATTAATTTAGTGCATTTTATGCAAAAAGCAACACAACATGCTTCTTGATACTGATGAAGATACAGCTGGGAAATAAAGTGTGCATTTAAAGTGCAAATGAGCCCAACAAAAACAGATAAAGGGGTGATTTCAATAAGTAAAGCAGCAGAAATAATAATGAAACGCGTGCTTCGGTTTTGAATTTCATTTGTTGCTTCTTTTGTTGTGTGAATGAGTTGTTTTCAGGCATTTTAAGTTGTAACTGTGAGCAAGAACTGATGTAGAAGCAGCTAAAAAAAAAAATCAGGAGGAGCATTCTTTGGTCAAAAAAGGCCATGAGTTGAATCTGAAAAGCTTTTGGTGTGGCACCCCCGTGTGGTTTCACTGCTGCAGACATCACATCAAATTAAAGCAGTTCCACAAACACCATAAATTATTAAAACTGAACAATATGTCTGAATATTACCTACAGTATGGTTTAAAATGTATTCAGAGTTAAAACTATTAGCATTTCTACACATTTCAATTTGACTTTTATTCAGAGACTGATTATTAAATGATACCAACCGGGAACTCGCCATCGTTTTCAAGTACTTCTCATTGTGCTTCGGTTATTTTTTTATTAGCAGAAGAGCTTAAACATGTTTTCCACATTGAGCATTTTTAGTAAAAGTCCAACCATCTGTCGCTGCCATCTGCCATGAAGAACTCTCCCTCTGTGCTGCAAACAACACAGCACTCGGGCCAATTCTGACCCAAACTGAGGCACAATGCAGGAAACAAAACCCAGTGACCAACAAAACAATTGTTGTTGTTTATATCGATATGTGCAAAACTCTTACAGAAAACAAAAAGCACATCTGCTGGAGTTTGTGTTGCTGGACTGAGTTTACCTGAGCTGACGAAGCTCGGCCAGCAGAGCCGGGCTGGCGCTGCCCTTCTCCGGACTGGGCTGACACACCGCGTCGTGCTCCGCGCGGAGACGTTTGATCTCTGCCAGGATCTCCCTGGGAAATGATAAACACAGCGGTCAGCACAGGTTTTTAAATCTGCTCACACAGAACAAGGACACACACTTCCGCAGGTTCTAGGTTTGGTTTGAAGCGTAAAGTAACGTAAAATAAACTGGAACAAATGTTCACATGAACAACTACAAACATGTAGGAAATACAGAAGATTAAAACAAAGTGTGCTTTTATTGTGAAGGGACACAAACTTTCTTAATCGCTGCCACATTAGCTGACACTAGTCGGTCTGTTCATGTCTGGAAACCTAATTTTAGGTGTTTTTAAGAAACCAACGTGCAGATCTAATGCACTAGAAAACCTGCTTTAGTTGAACAGGGGGTCACTTAGTTTATTTTTTTAAAAACAGACTTGCATCTTTGTAGAACAAACTCATTCAGGCTGATGTGAAGCTCGTTTTAAATACATTTAAAGAACAAAACAAATGTTTATTGTTGCACATTACTGTTTTAAGAAGGAGCATTTTCTTCCTAGAACAGATTGCCGAGATGTGCAACGTCTTCACTTCTGAGTGCACGGCCTGTGTTTGCTCAAAATAATAAATAAAAATTGATTGTGTCCGAGACAAATCTTTGCACTCCTGGTCTAAATTTTATTAACTTATCTAAAAAAAAATGCATAAAACTTTAATATTTCATGTTTTATTTTGAGTATGTCAAGCATAGATAGTGTACGTGTTTTTGTTTGGACATAACGAGTTAAAAAGGAAAAGATTACCCTTCAAAGGATGGTTAGTTAAAAAGATTTGAGTCAAGTTCCCTCATATGCTTCTTTGTTGTCATTTAAAAATAAAACGGTTGATGCCTCTTAATCAGGTTATGTCTATGATGAGCCAAGAGTTTTCATATGAATGTGTTTCCAAGATAAATATATTAAAAACAACTCACTTTATGATTTATATCTCATTTTATTGATGGTTCTGGTTGTTCTTCACCTCCTTGTGAAGCTTTTGGGTCAACCTTGTTGTTTTGAATGCACTATATAAATAAACTCGACATTGACGAGGTTTTTCCCAGGTAGAAATTAAAAATTAATCTCTGGAGTGAGTGGTTCGTTTGCCTTCTAACAGCTAACGTAGCCCAGAAGCAAACAGATTTATTTATTTAACTTTCTGAGTAGTGGGCGGACGCCGTGAGAGATTATCTCAACAGATTGATGGAAAGGTGCTACAACAAACATTTAAAACAAAAAATAACCAGAGAAATTGCATTTCCTGCAAAAATGCAGTGTGAATGCTTATTGCAGAAGAACTTGCTGAAAAACAGCTGAAATTAGCTAAAAACTTGCTGAAATGTTGTTGAAATGGAAAAACAAGCCAAAGTTAGCAGAAGAAAACAGGAACAACTCATATTTGCTGAATTTGATTTAAAGAAGCAGCAGTGAGCACAAAAATGAGCAAATTAGCTAAAAATGGCTGAAATTAGTGAGAAATAGCAGAAAACTTAACTGAACAGGCAGAAAGAAGCTTAAGTTACTAGAAGGAAGTGGAAAGAGCAGAATTGAGCTAAAAATGTGGAATTAGCTGAAAAAGCTAAAATTAGCATTAAAACAGCTGAATAGTAGCTGAAATAGCAGGAAAAGCTGAAAATAGTAGAAAAAAGCTGAAAGGAGCTTAAAAAAATTTAAATTAGCATAAAGAAGTTAATTAGGCTGAAAGTAGTAGAAATTACCACGGAAAACTTGAATTTATCTTAAAAGAGCTGGAATTAGCTAAAAATGCTAAAGTAGCTGAAAAGATAAAACAAGCTTAAATTAGTAGAAGAAAACAGAAAGAGCATGTTTGCCCATTTAGGCTGAAAGAAGCAGAAATTAGCTCAAAAAAGTGAAAATTATCTGTAAAAAGCTGAAATTAGCTACAACAACAAAAAAACAGCTGAAAAGTAGCTAAAATAGGCAGAAAGAAGCTTAAATTACCACAAGGATGTGAAGAGAGCACATTTTTGCAGAATTAGGCTGAAAAAAGTTGAAATGAGTGCAAAAAATAAAAAAATAAAGTAGAATTAGCTGAGAAAGCTCAAATTAGCATAAAACAGCTAAATAGTAGATGAAATAGCAGAAAAAGCTGAAACTTGCAGAAATAAGCAGAAACGAACATAATAAGCTAAAATTGGCAGAAATAAGTTAGAAGAAGCACAAAAACGTTGTAGTTAACGGAACAAAGCTGAAAGGAGCACTAAACAGCTGAAAAACAGATGAAAATAGCTGAAAATGTTTACATTTGCACAAGGAGGCTGAAAGAAGCTGAAGCAAAACAAAATGTGAAAGGAGCAGTAAAAGGTTGTGAACAGATCTAAAGAGTTGAAGGAGCTCAATTAATTTTCTATGAGACAAAACATGGCAGAAGAGGCTAAATATTTCAAAAAGCTAAAGTTGCACCAATACCAAAAGTCATAGCAGGATTGTCCTGAAAGAGCTGAAAGTTTTGATGCATGATTTGTTGAAGTAGCAAAAACAATTGTGGAACAATAAAGATGCCGAAAAACATACAGAAGAAAAATGGATGACAACAGAGTGAATGCTTCGTAAACATCCGCACTATTAGAGCTTCGACTTCTGATAATACGAGGAACCCAAACGTTTATTTTGAGTCTGTTTTTTTAAATAAAGCTGTGAAACTAGTGAATAATAAACTGTTCTTCTGCACCTGTTTTTGCACTCCATCTGAGCAATGAGCTCCCTCTTCTGCTTGTTCACATCAAAGTTGATGCTCCGTGTTGGGATCACCTAAAACATACATGTAACAATATTTTATTATTAGCAGGAAAAGGCTCTTGGTAAAGAACAGCTCATCCTCATTTGTTTTAATGGTCCAAGTTAATGTGGTTCTAGTTGAAAAGTGTTTAAAACTCACTCCTGTGCTCTCGGTCTCGGCCAGTCGGGAGGTGTAGCGAGCGATCAGTTTGTGCTCCTCGTCTTGCCTGCTGGGACTGTCCAAACCACTGAAACATGAAAAGGCACAAAAACAAACATGGCAGACACGTCGGTGTTAAATACTGAGAAATAGCTGATGATTAAACTGACAAATGGATAAAAATAACCAATATAGAAGCCATATACACAAAGTTTGTTTTCTCAGTCATCCAGGTATATAACAACAAAAAAGGTTGAATCATGTCATCTGGACTTCGTTTTTTTGTTAAAAAGAAACGTTTCGCCCCTCATCCAAGATAGAAGCCATATGTTAAGAGAAAATAAAAATAATGAAGATAAATAAATAAAACGGTAAATTCTCAACTAAGCTGGTGTAGTGAACTCGGCCTCCGGTCAAAACCTGACCCTGAAGACCTTCATGGTCAGGAACTGTTATTTCATTGATTTGAATCCAGAAATACAAATTAGCTCATCCAGAGACTTTCTAATTTGTATCCTGAACTAATCAATTGAAAGAACACTCTCTTTTTATATTGTCATTACTATTTTTACAAATGTCTTGATAAACAAAAGTGTGTTTAGTTCAAACCATTTTTAAATGTTGAAGTGAACTACTCATTTTAAATCAACTGTGAAACAGTATTAATGATTTTTTAATCCTCATTCAAAGTAGAAATCAAGTTAATGTCTGTTACAAAGTAATTATGCATTTTGATCTTCTGTCTGAAATGAGAAGTAGTGATGTCGGTCGAAAGTCAGAAAGAAGTTATTGGAACGAACTGTCATGTTTTTAAACCTCTCAGACAGAAATAAGAAGCTACTGGCACCTGTAGTCTGTCATTTCTCCAAAACATTTCTCTGTCTGTTCCCAAACATCTCACTGTTTTTCTGACTTGTAGTAACCCTCTGACGTCACGAAAACCACACCCCTGTTGGTTCTTTCAACCAATCAAGACTTCCCAAAAGGGACCGGAAGCAGAGCTCTTTAAAAGTCGACACTTCCTAGTTCCAGTTAGTGCTGGAGGATGAACCGAAGTTCCGAAGGAGAACAGAAGTTCCATGGAGAACAGAGAGTTCTGCTGAGAAGGAAGACAGTGCGACTTTGCAAGGGTGAAGTCCACGGTGGTCATTTTCTGAAAGATGGCACCTGTCTGGAGTGTTGATTCCGGTCATTACGCCAAAGACCTATTCAACATCTCAGGAGTTCAGCACGTTTGCTGAAATTCCACTTAACTTAATCCTATCTTTCGGGGAAGTTTATTTTGGAAGCTGGGCCAGTCAGCCTCGTCATCCCAAGTTGATGAGACGCGGATAAATCCCTGGAGGTAAAAAGACTCAGCCTTGCTGGACGCCAGGAGAAGACCTCTCTGAAACCCCACCAAGGTAAAGAGTCGACGCTCGGGTACATCTAGCCGAAATCACTGGGAAACGTGCTATCTGGTTTCAAACAAGATAACTCCCCATCTTTTCTTTATTATCTTAGTTAACCCTAAGTATCCACTTTCCCTCCTTAAACTTTACTCCATCTCTTCTATCTCGCCAGTAAAAAGATAAGCTAAGCCTGCAGACATTAATTTAAGATCTAAGGATATGTCTGTTGTACTTTAGCTGCAAGTGAGAAATCATGGCCGTATGATTTCTCATTGTAAAGCTCATTAATTAAGCTGTGTTATTGTAATCAATCAGAATTATCAAGTGTACAATGTTTTGATGTTAAATTTTGATTCTTTTAATAAATGACCACATTCATTTTGATGGGTCAAAGAAAATTAACGTCTCACGTCACTGATTAGACCATCTCCGACAGTACTTCTAAGCACAATATCACTTAGTCCAGAAAAATGAAAGAATCCGTTTAAATTAAGTATAATATCATGTACTTGAACTAGTCCAGATATTATAAAATGTAAGAGAGCACCCCTGAGCTAAATCCATCTCTCGGCTGTCTCGTTACACTGGGCATGTTGTAACTGTTGTGTTTTAAAACACTTATATGGATTTAATTTGCGTTTAAAATATGTCATACTTGAGCCAGTGAAGGAGAGCACAAGTTTAAAACCGCCATTTTTTTTGTTGTGAATTATATAAGCTCTAAAAAAAATATTATCAGAATCAGCTTTATTGTCATTGCACTGAAGCACAACAAAATTATATTTCAGTACAGCCCGTCCAAGTAAAACACAAACAAACAGACATGGGGAGACGGAGGTGTCTGAGACTGCGGCCTCATGGGAGGCGCTGCCCTTTTCGTAGTGAAGTTACCTCTAACACTGAAGCTTCAAAGCACGCTTCAAACTCGACAGGGTAGTTATGGTGAAGCAGCGGGCCGGAGCTTGCTTCATGTGACGTCACTGATGACGTGTGAACCACTTCACTGCTTCATTCAGACCGAGTCAGCTGACTGCTTCGAGTTGACAGGCGGAGTTTCAAACATTTGGTGCGATTCAGTGTATTTAAGATGGCTCAAGCCACGGTTCACATCCCCGTTCTACACATATTAATTTAATTATTTTTTTATTGTACTCTATTAATCCCCAATGGGGAAATTAATTCTCTGCATTTTTCCCATTGCACATGTGAGCACACAAGTTCGGCAGTGGGCTGCCATCTAGGGCACCCGGGGAGCAGCTGGGGTGGGTGGTTAAGGGCCTTGCTCATGGGCCCAGTGTGCGGCAAATGAGGGTGGAGGCAGGTGTGGGTGTTTCACCTTTCCCACCTACATTTTGATGTTGTCGGGCCCGGGCTACCACTACTACTGCTACTACTACTACTTTTTAAATCTAAATATGATTACTTGGGTAACTGTTTCTGTTTTAAATGTGCTATATAAATAAATCTGATTTCACATTATTGAGCCACAACACTGCAGATTTTTCACATGCCAGCTGTTTCGCCTCTGCTACTACCTCGCTCAGCGGCACAGAGGGGGGGTGGGCTGGCCTCTTCCCGTCTCACAGCCTCAGTCATTTCAGTCGCACTGAGGCGGCCAGAAGGCATCTAGTGCCAGACTGAGGCGTTTTGTGAAAAACCCAGTTGTACTATACCTTTCCCCACAGTTTATAACCCACTTTAATACACTTCTGTAACCCCCCTCTCCCCCCCGTGTCTGTGCTCCTCTCACCCTGGGTTGCTCTGCAGTTGGTTCACGTAGGCTGCGATCAGAGCGTGCTCTTCGTTCATCCGTCGAGCTGCAGACAAGCTGGGAAGAGAGAGAAACAGTCAGCGTCTGTCAGGCTGGTGGGAATAACGTCTTGATGCCTGATGTGCTCCTCCTGCCAGCTTTACAGGAAACAGGTCAACACAATTTCACACTGACAGAGTTAAAAGCTACAAATGCTAAAGATACAAGTGTTACTATTCTGTCAATACTGCAGTTTCTTCATACGAGTCCTCTAAATCATCAAATGAGACATGACAATAAACATTTATTGCAGATTTGATAAGACTCCTCTGCTGACAATTTAAACAACAACCTGGTAAATGTTCAACTTTAGTCCACAGCTAATACCTACTGCTGATTTTGTGCCTAATAATAACTAGAGAAATTCCATTTCCTGTGAAAATGCGGTGCGAACGCTTATTGCAGAAGAACTTGCTGAGAAACAGCTGAAATTAGCTAAAAATATATGCTGAAATGTAGCTGGAATGGAAGAACAAGACTAAATTAGCAGAAGAAAGCAGAAAGAACACACATTTGCTAAAATTGGTTTAAATATTCCTAAATTAGAAGAAAAATGAGGAAAGTAGCTAAAAAAAGGCTGAAAAAATGGCTGAGCATTAGCTGAAAGGCAGAAAAAAGCTTAAACTACCAGAAGGAAGCAGAAAGAGCTGAAATGAGCTAAAAAAAATGTAGAATTAGCTAGAAAAACTCAAATTAGCATAAAAAGCTAAATAGTAGATGAAATAGCAGAAAAAGTGGAAACTAGCTGAAAGGAGCATAACAAGCTGAAATTAGCAGAAAGAAGTCTTAAAGTAGCAGAAATTACCATGAAAATCATGAATTTATCTGAAAACAGTGGAAAAAAGATAAAATGCTAAAAATGTAGCTGAAAAAAAAAAGAACAAGGTTAAATGAGCAGAAGAAAGCAGAAAGAAAACACATTTGCCCAATAAGGCTAAAAGAAGCAGAAATGACCACAAAAAGTGGAAATTATCTGAAAAAAAGATTAAATTTGCAACAAACAGCTGAAAAGTAGCTATAAAAGTAGAAAGAAGCTTAAATTACCAGAAGAATGTGCAGAGAGCACATTTTTCCTGAATTAGGTTGAAAAAAGTTGAAATGAGTGCAAAAAATGTGGAAGTAGCTGAAAAGCTAAAATTAGCACAAAACAGCTAAATAGTAGCTGAAATATCAGAAAAAGTTGAAACTTGCATAAATAAGCTGAAATTAGCCAAAACAAGTTAGAAGAAGCACAAAAATGTTGTAGTTAGCAAAAACAATCTAAAAGGATCAAAAATCGGCTGAAAAACAGCTGAAATTAACTGCAAACTTTTTTAATTTGCACAAGAAGCTGAAAGAAGCTGAAGAACAAAATGTGAAAGGAGCAGTGAACGGTTGTAAACACATCTAAAGATATGAAGGATGGAAAATGAGCTCAATTCATTTTCTATGAAAAAAATGGCAGAAAAGGCTAAATATTTCAAAAAGCTAAAGTTGTGCCAATACCAAAAGTCACAGCACCCTTCTCCTGAACAAGCTGAACGTTTTGATTTATGATTTCATGAAATAGCACAAAAATTGTGGAACAAAAAAGATGCCGAAAACCGTACGGAAGAAAAATGGATCATAATGGTACGAATGCTTCATAAACATTCTCACAATAATTTGCAAGTAAAATGTGTGCATGAGTTAAAAACTGTTCCTTTCGATTAAAAACACCTAAATGTTTTCTTTCAGATCCAATCAGAAAAGCAAGGCAGTAGATGAAATTATCATTTAAACGCAACAAATAACTAAATAAAGTCCTATTTATGTACGTGAACGTTTCACCTTCATAGAAAGCGTGCATCAAAGTTAATATTTCTCCACCGCTTGTGTCGGTCTTTACCTTTTGCAGGATTCTGGCGCTGATGAGGACAGCAACATGGTCTCGTTGGTGTTCCCAAACGGTCTGGTGGGGCTGCGCATAAAAATAAATAAAAAGATAAGATACACAAGAGCTTTATTACCAGCAGGGTGAAGGATAGCAGCACTGAAACATTACAAGTCCTGCCTGTCAGGAACTAGCCTCACAGTCAACACACAACGTCACATGCTCTTAAGAGCATTCATGCAACAGTGAATCGTTACGGACTGATCAAACACAGACGGGCCAAAGATCGACAGAGGGAGACGGCGTAATAAAAGAAAAGAGAAACCGATCCTCTGAAAAGAAACTGTACATTAGTAACACGTGTGAGAATGTAGAAGTAAAAGCTTTCCACATCAGCGTACTCACAGTGGTTAGTTTGATCAGTTCTGCTGGCCTGAATTTAACGCCTGCAGGTCAATACTGACCCCGTCTGCTGCAGTTCACAGTCACACAGTACTGACTCACCATGGGGGGCGGAGCAATGCAAGACTTTGGTTTGTGGGAGGGGCTAACAGTTTAGATTTGCATATAACTGCAACAGTGAGAACATTTAGTGGGCAAAAAGTCTGCGTAGGTAGTAAATATGTTGTATTAAACTTTGTTTTATTTTAACTTGTGAACGCTGATTTAGTTTGCACACTATTTTTGTGGGTGTTTTCACCCCAGATCCTTTTTAAAAAAAAGTATATGATTCTTGTTGTTCTGTTTTAGTAATTTGTGCATCAAAACGTCCAGCTCATTCATAGGTTAGGTGCTATAAGGTCTACTCTTTGTAATTTTCTCAATACTTACCTTTATTTACAAACATTTCCCCCACAGAAATATAAATAGAGCTCTTCAGTTCCTACAAAAATGCTGATCTTTTTAAAATTAGCTTAGACACCCTGGCTCTATTTAGTCTTGGTGTGCTACTTTTAGCTTTTAACTAACCATTTGCTAGTTTTAGCTTTTAACCAAAGCTTTACTACCTCTAGCTTCGAGCTAGGCATTTGCTCATTTTAGCTTCTAGCTAGCCTCGTGCTTTGAGCTTGTAGTTAGCTTTGTAGTACTTTTGTCTTTTTGCCAATTTTTTGCTAGCTTAAGATATCATTTTGCATTTTTAGCTACATTTTTATATTTTCAAGTTTAGCTGTTTTGTTACAATTGGATATTAGCTGTTGTTTTGCTGATTTTAGTTAAGCTCTGATTCTTTTACATAACGTGTTACTACTTTACAATAGCCTCTTGCTGCTACGTTTAGCTTTTAGCTAAACTTTTGCTAGTTTTAGCTTTGAGCCATCCATTTACTACTTCTATCTTCCAGCTAGCCTTTTGCTCCTTTTAGCTTCTAGCTAGACTCATGCTTGTAGCTTAAAGCTTTGTAGTTAACTTTGTCATACTTTTGTTTTTGCTAACCTTTTGCAACTTTATGCTTTCATTTTGTTTTTAGGTACCTTTTTATAGTTTGACGTTTAGCTGTTTTGTTACATTTGGATATTAGCTGTCGTTTTGCTGCTTTTAGTTAAGCCCCAATTCTTTTACATAACGTGTTACTACTTTACACTAGTCTCTTGCTGCTATGTTTAGCTTTTAGCTAGTTTTAGGTTTTAGCCAGCCATTTACTACTTCTAGCTTCCAGCTAGCCTTTTGCTCCTTTAAGCTTCTAGCTAGCCTCATGCTTTTAGCTTGAAACTTGTAGCTAACTTTGTCGTACTTTTATGTTTTTGCTAACCTTTTGCTACTTTAAGCTATCATTTTGCTTTTTTTTATATTTGACGTTTAGCTTTTTTTTAACATTTGGATATTAGCTGTCGTTTTGCTGATTTTATTTAATCTCTGATTCTTTTACATAACATATTACTACTTTACACTAGCCTCTTGCTGCTACTTTTAGCTTTTAGGAAACCTTTTGTTGCTTTTAGTTACTGACATAGTACTTGAAGCTATATTTTTTACTACTTCTAGCTCTTGCTTTACTTCCTTTTACTAGCTTATTAGCTTTAAGTAAGCTTTTTGCTACTTTTAATATTTAATTATCAATTTAGCTACTTTTAGCTAGCCTTTTGCTACTTTAGCTTTCATTTAGCTAGTTATAACATTTAACTAACAAATAATAACAAAAATTAAATGTAAAATAAAACTGATGGCTCACACTAAAGCATTTTCGCAGATATAAGAAAGGTCAAATCTTTACTACCGATAATATACTGTTAATAAAACAATGTCAGTCAGATGACATTGGACACGCGATGCTAAAATATGTTAGACGTTCGTCACAAATGTCTGTAGTAATGTGAGTTAAAGAGCCTAGCTAAAAGCACAGTTTGGTCAAAACTAAAAAGTCACTATTGTTAAATTGTGTGTCTGATGTCGTACACTATGTTGGAGAGGTTAAGGGTCATCTCTGGCTCCTCGGAGTAAACGGGGTGGGGGAGCTCCTTCGACGAGGCGCAGCCCAAAGTCCTGCTCAAAGCTCGACCAAACTTTTTCGCCGGTGACTTCTACAAGCACAAAACACACGCAAGTTAGGTCAAAGTTTATTTTACCCGGAAAAAAATCAACGAGATTAAAATTCTCATTTACAAGCGTGCCCTGATCACAACTGGCCACAAAACATAAACCTTCACACTTTCACAATAACAGTGCGTGTTAACATGCGTCCCTCAAACAGTCTTTACATGACCAAAGAATATATGTTCCTGTCGGATAAAACACTTCCATCAAATGAGTATTGATCAGTTTCTGACGGTGTTTGTGGCAGCACAAGAATCAAAACTGTTACATTTCCTTTGAGTGATGAGCTTTAGCTAAAATGTTGTTTTTAAAAAAGTCTTTCCTGGAATCCGGAGGAAGGTAAAGCAGTAAGTGAAAATAATAAATTTGACTGTTGTCACGTTTTACCAGTCAAATTTAGTCACACGCAACACTGAAGACAAACATGAACAGTGAAGAAAATACAAACAGAAAACCCGGGATGGGAGTTATAAGATCTGCTAACGGTTATTAGCATGAGCTGCTTTGATCAGAAGGATCCGTTGGACAGGCTGAAACTGAACTGGGAGGTTTATCCCAGCAGCTGAAACATTAATAAGACAACATGTGCCAAGACTGTGCATGAATAATTCAACAATCAAGTCTGGATGTATTAATTCATTATTTCTTCATTATAAACATTCAGGTTGTGGCAGTTTTGGAGGATGGTGTTATTTTCCATTTTGACTTTTTCTGACAAATACATGATGATTAATAAGTGGGTTTGAAATTTACGATTTAAAAACAGCTGATTGTATTTCAGTTCCAACGAGGGACCTGCCTCGGCTGTACAACGCACACACAGAGTGTCTCCTGGCCTGAAACCACAAGCGGACTCACCCAGTACGAGTGCTCCTTCATTTGGTGCTGGTTGCTGTGGGAGCCGCTGGCGTTGCCACGCCAAAAGCAGTTCTGGCAGAGCTGGTAACCACGGCAGCGGAGGCAGCGATAACGAAAGCCGGTCATGCCGTTACTGCGGCAGAAGGAGCACGTCACTGGATGATAAACTGTGAAACAAAGAAGTAAAAATCGATGAGTCAGAGTCAGACCATCAAGTATATATTTAACTTCAAACAAGCAAAAATATAAAAATAAAAACGTATGAAGTTTTTATTGAGAATCTTTTTTCGTTTTTATATTTCAAAACGTTGCCATTAAATGCTAACACCAACTCTGTCCGTTAGCAAACTATCCAATAACCCACAGGACAGATTATAGTGAAACTTTCAAGTAATCGCGAGCCTTACATCAAAACCAAAACAGCATTTTGAGGAAACTCAGTTCAGCATGGAGGCCAGAGTTAATCCATATGAGCCCGCAGAGAAAAACTTCATCAGTCTTACAGATACTGAACTAAATTTGATGAAGTGGCTTTAAGAATCTGATGATATTAGTCTAAGAATCTGGCATGAAAGGCGGTGCATGATATTCAGTTCTACAAGGAATGCTTGAACTTTGATTATCAAGATGAAAGGTGAACCATCCAACCATCCATCCTTTATCTTTACTCGCTTCTTCCTTTTTGGATCCCGGAGGTCACTGGTGCTCATGTACAGCCATCACTGTGCGAGAGGTGGAGGACACCCTGGACATGTCTCCAGTCCATCACAGGGACACATAGAGACAAACAACCATTCACTCTCTCTCACCTAGGGACAATTCAGAGTTATCAATGAGCCTAACATGCACGCATGCACGGAGAGAACATGCAAACTCCACCCAGAAAGGCCCCCGACCGGGATTTGAACCAGCGATCTTCTCAATGAGAGGCAACAGCTCTACCAACTGATCCGCCATGCTGCCGAAAAACGAACTAAGTCAAATAAAATAGGCCTACTGTTGTTTTAGGATAATAACTAGCCATGCTCAATTTACTGTAGTACTCCATTTTTAATTTATTTCCTTTAATGTTGACGTCATCGTCACCTGCACCTCAGTTATTTCAGCTTTTGTCAGAATTTCAGGGGTTTTTGTTTGTTTGTTTAGAGACTATTCTTTCCCAAACTGATTAAAAAACCTTTTTATTTAACATACAAAGGCCTGAATGTTTGAATGGCTACAATCCTCACTATGACACAGTGAGATGTGTGCGTGTGTGAGTGCACGTGTGTGTGAGGGTACCATGCTCCACGTTGGCCATGCGATGCATCAGAGGCAGCCAAATGAGACACTCAGGAGGCTCAGCTACAATGTCCAGAAACATGTTGAGCATCACCCTCTTCTGAAGAACAATAAAAACATTCACATTAAAAATTGTTCAAAAGTAAACACAAAGTGCTACAACCAGCTTGACTATTAATCTCCCATGATTTCTAATTTTAAATATGCTGCACTGCATCATGACTCTGTGTGTTAAATGTCTTGATGCGTGCTCAATAATCCAGGTAAATGAATGTAACAAGGTTGAATCAGGTCCTCTGGACGGGCTCTTCTTTGTTGAAACACATACTGTATTTTCTGGTGTATAAGTCACATTTTTTGCATAATTAGCATGCCCTGTGTCTTATGCACCGAAGTGGTGTATAAATGTTTTTTTTTCCCATATTTATAACTCAATTTTTGGCAGAGATCTGACAATTTTGTTCATCCTGACATGGTAAATATTGAACACTACCATTTTCAGCCACTAGAGGGCCTTGGACTATAAGGCAAACCAAGTGTCTCATTAATAGGTAAAAGTGGCGATTAATGAGACACTTGGCTTGCCATACCAAGCCACCTTCGTCTCGCTCCGGAACTCTTGGATCTAACGTCAAATCAGCTGCATTTCGCCGCGCCGCCCAGGTGAAATGCAGCTGATTTGACCGTTAAAGTGCATTTATTAAGGAAAAGTTAAACTGAGACACACCTTTGCTATAATGTCAAGCAAACAAATAATTGTTTTTACGTGGTTGTCTTGTTAAATTTGGAAGAAATGCACAGCGAGTCATCCTTCTGCGCACTCCCGCGAATCGGCTTTTGAAATGCAGCTGATTTGACCGTCAAAGTGCATTTATTAAGGATAATTCAACTGAAACACACCTTTGCTATAATTTCGAGCAAACAAATAATTGTTTTTAAGTGTTATACTTGTTAAATTCTTGTTAAAAGTCCTCACGTGCACACTCCCGCATCAGCCATTTGGCAGCCAATCGATTTTTGACACAACACTGACTCACATTTCCGGGTTGTCAACAGCGACACATAATAGATGCAACTTATACAGTGGTGCCACGTGTTCGGCACAAAGACGGTAATCTTTTATCCAAAGGACTTCTTCAGTCTGAGGAGCGGCACTAAACTAAGTCCTATAAACAGCACCTTCTCAAAGATCAACCAGTTTGATGGTGACAGCCAGAACTAGTTGTTCACATCTGTGTGGTAAAGCACAAATGGATGAAGTGTGTTTACCTGTTGTGGGAAACACGAGCGTGCCACGACGTGTGTGGAACCAAAGGACGGCCCTTCGTGTACAGCAGTGGGCAGCTTCAGAACCTCCCTTAGAAAACTGTCGAATTTGGATAGTACCAACACCCCCTTGGAGTCAGATACCTGAGAAAAGACATCTAGAAAAACACAACCAGAAAGTTTGAATGATCTAAAACTCTTTTTCGATAAATATTACCATTTTCTTGAGTCTATTTAGCTCGAGCTGTATTTTATGACAGAAATCACGAGCTTCCTGTTCTAAGGAAATTATCTGGAGACTGTGATGCATGTGAGTTTTCTGCTTTTCTCTCGTATGGATAACCCACTTCTAAATCCACAGGGGAGTGCTTCTTTTGATATAAGAGTTTTGATGTTAAGCTTTTCAGCTGCCTTTCTGCCAGATAAACACAAAACTGTATGAACAGCATATTACAGCCGGTCACAGCTTCTAGAAACTCTGGATAAAAAAACTTTATCTTTTCAGTTGTTAAATAATGTACTTTGCCATAGCAGGTGGATAATCATGTATCATGATGGTGTAGCAAATTATTTCATAAACCTCTGTACAGATTTTAATCAAAGGGTCAGAAAGTAACGACTGGTTCGAAAACTCATTACCATATTTGTCGCTGTATAAATCGCACCTTTTTGCATAAATTTACACGCCCTGCAACTTATACAGCGAAGCGACTTATTTATGTTTTTTCCCATATTTATAAACCAATTTTTGGCTGAGATCTGACGATTTCATTCATTCCGACATCGAACACTACCATTTTCATTCACTAGAGGGCAGTCGAGTAATATGGCAAGCCAAGTGTCTCATTAATAGGTAAAAGTGGCTATTAATGAGACACTTGGCTTGCCATACCAAGCCACCTTCGTCTCGCTCTGGAACACCTGGAGCAAACGTCAAATCAGCTGCATTTCGCCGCGCCGCCCAGGTGAAATGCAGCTGATTTGACCGTTAAAGTGCATTTATTAAGCAAAAGTTCAACTGAGACACACCTTTGCTATAATGTCGAGCAAAAAAATAATTGTTTTTAGTTGGTTATCTTGGTAAATTTAGAAGAAATGCACATCAAGTCCTCCCTCTGCACTCTCCAGCAGCCGCGAATTGATTTTTAAAATGCAGCTAATTTGAGCGTTAAAGTGCATTTATTAAGAAAAAGTTCAACTGAGACAAACCTTTGCTATAATTTCGAGCAAATAAATAGTTGTTTTTAAGTGTTAATCTTGTTAAATTCTTGTTAAAGTCCTCTCGTGCACGCTCCCGCAGCCGCCATATGATAGCCAATCAATTTTTGGCACAACACTGGCCCACATTTCCGGGTTGTCAGCGGTGACGCATAATAGATGCGATTTATACGGCAAAGCAACGTATTTATGTTTGTTTCCACTTTATTAGACATATATGGACTGATGCAACTTATACGGTGGTGCGACATGTACGGCGGCAAGTACGGTACCTTTTGGAGTCAGCTTGATTCAGGTGGTATCACAGCTTACTGACTAACAAACACAAGAATGGCCCCAACACTGCAATTTTTACAGATACTGAGGTAAAATTATGTGGTAGTAGATGAGACTCGTAGATTATAGTATAATAGATGCATTATCTCTGACTGTGATTAGTCCTGCCTCGTTTATGAACATTTAAATCATGTTTGTCCATTTAAAATCTATTTTGCACAGTTAGAATCTGTCCAATTTGTGTTTTCTTTGTATTAGTTTGTATTTTACAGTTTGGATCTGTTGCTACTATAAAAAAAAATCCTGGATTGGGATTATTAAAGCGCATCCATATTACAATGTATCCATTATTTCAAGCTTTGGCAAATGAAGTGCTGTAAGATATGAATTTCATCAAGGGATTGCACTTTCATCTATTTAGTTTTAGAGTTTTTTTTTTTTACTATGAGAATACTAATGTTTATGTTGTAGGTCTTGTAAACTGTCCGGTTGATTTTTTACATATTTGTATGATCATGTTATATGTGATTCGTCACATCAAACCAAGGATTAAGTTGTAAAGTGATCAACATTGGTTGAAACATTTGCAATAATGGATTTTGCCAAAAATATGATGAATAAATACTTTACCTATGGGCCCCTTGAATGAAATGTGCAAAATATAATTGTAAAGAATGTTTTGAAGCACTTATCTGAGCAGCATCAATAACTAATAATGATTTTGAGCAAAAAAATAATAAATTTTTGCCACATTCTCTGAGTCAAGTGGAGCGTTTTTCAACACCAGCAGGGAAACCCTGACATCTAAATATCGTTTGAGGTCTCTTCTTTTAAATGAAGTCAAGAAATCCTCATTAAAATATGCTAAAAAATAAATTTAAGACCAAATCAGGATTATCTGGGTATCAAAAATGTGGATTAAAAAAACAGGAATCTGAAAACATTTTAAGTTTCGTTTGACCAAATCTGACTTAATCCTCCATTTGTGATGGGTAACATTTCAATTAACGTTTCTAATTAAAGTAAATAAAAGTACACTATCTATTAAACAATAAAAGCACTCAATTTTGCTGCCAAAATTAATACATTTTGGCCTTTACATGCATGTTTTCTGAGTACCGTTTAAAGTATTTGAGTAAAATGTGAAATAACAAATTCTATGGTATCAAAAGAAACTCACAGCGAAGTTTATCCACCAGTTTCCCTCCACACAGAGTTGCCAGCATCGCCTTCACAGAGAGAACAGTCAGGCGGCTCTCCGGCTCGCTAGAACGTACAAACAAATATTTCACAGAAAACCAAATTAAAGCTTGTTTTCGGGGCCCAAAGACTAAACAGGAAGTGACGTGGCGTACCAGTCAACGGCAGCCAGGATGAATTCGACCAGGAGGACGGTGCTCTCTCGGGGGTTGATGGTGTGGGTGGTGGGCAGACGCTTGCTGAGCTGGTTGAACATGGACGACACCAGGTTCTCCAGTCTGGTTACAGAGATACCAGCGTTGAGCTCCACTGCGTTTAGCCCCGCGTCCCGCACCGCCTCGATCACATTGTAGATGTCAATCAGATGCACTGGAATAAGAAGATGCAGAGGATGATTTCTGTGGCAACCAGAAACGCTCACGACGAGACCAGGACGAGGCACGGTGAATCTCAATTATAATTTTAAGAACTGCCACGAGCAGTGACTCACGGTTGCATCTCTTCTGTACAAATCGGAGCTTGCAGCCAGTCCGGTACGTTGACAGACAAATGGAATCGAAGTTCTGCTCCCCTGTGGAAAAATACGACATTCAGGAACTCTTGTAGCTCAATTCTGTGTAGGAATATTTTCCAGAGACGTGACTTAGACAGTAAAGCACATTTCTAATAGGGGGAAACTATGCTGGCAGATTTAGCATCATGGTTTAAAAGAACATAACTACTCCTGAGGCTACATAAGGACATTATAATAAAAATTTTAAAAACTTTCTTAATCCCAAAGGGAAATTAAATGTTGTAGCTCATCATCCTGGTTCCATTAGAGTTGTTCTAGATGCTGATGGCTGTGGGCAGGAAGGATCTCTTGTAGCGGTCTGTCTTAGAGCAGATCTGAAGAAACTGGTTGCTGATGCTGAGCCGTCTACTTGGACTTGGTGAGTTTTTCGGTCTTGGGCAGAAGGACCACCTGCATCTTAGCAGAACTCCTCCCTGAGCGATGGCTAGGCCTGTCACGATAATAAATTTTGCTTGGCGATTAACTGTCTCAGAAATTATTGCGATAAATGATAATATTGTTTGAAATTTGACAATAATTAGTAATTATTGTCAAATTTAAGAAGAAATGTTGGTTAATTTTTGTGTGCAGTACCTTTTTTGACCACTGGATGGCAGTATAAAACTGTTTGAACCGAAGGATGGATAGTGAGGGAGCGAGCAGCGTGTCTCTAAGAAAATGGGAGGGAGGCCCCTTGACGTGACATGGGCTGTCTCTCGTTCCTTTTTTTTTAGTGTTCAAAATGGCGGACGCTCATTGTGATTTGAGCTCTTTAGCATAGCATTTTTCACACAAAGCTTTTAATAAAAAAACTCAGTAAACAAATTCTCAGCTTCTTTCTGCAGAGAAAAACAACTTTTTACACAAAAACACGGGTTTCAACTGTGAATTTTGGAGCTTCGACAAGACGGAGGTTTTTTCCAGAGGTCGGCCTGTTAGCGTAGCTCGTAGCTTAGCTTCTCAGCTTAGCTGCTTTTAACGATCCAAAAACGCGATTGTGGACGGTTAAAATGGATTTTAAAGAGAAAAGAGAAAGGGAGGGGTCAGTGAAGAGCACCGGAGTTGAGCTTTTTGTCATCCAGTGTCTTCAGCAGAAAGAGAGAGACACGAAGAAACGATAAAGCCAATAAATGAAAACGAGGTTGATAATTTTCATTTATCATGCGATTAATTGATTTATTGTTTATTGCGAAAGGCCTAGCAATGGCCACTCCTCCAGCAGCTTGTTGAGCTTCTCGTCATTGCGGACAGACAGCTGCAGGTGTCAGGGGATGATCCTGGTCTTCTTGTAGTCACGAGCCATGTTTCCCACCAGCTCCAGGATCTCGGTCGGTCTTGGTCAGGTACTCGAGCACCTCTGCCAAGTAGACGGAGATGCACCCACGGCACCTCCTTTTTTAACTCGTTTGTGATTTGGGGCTGTAGCTGAGGTAAATCTTTGCACTTTTGAGATGTTAATCAGCTGCTCCTGATTGTTGGTCAAGGTTACTCACCAAGTTCTACAAAGATCTGACTCCCGTCTGGTCTAGAAGCCGCTCGTCCTCCGTCTCTCTGGGCCCCTTCCTCCATCACCATCCTGCATGAAAACAGAAAAATAAACGTAACACCTGAATTTCATCAAAGTATAAATCAGGTTTTTACAACACAAGACAGTTCATATGCTCAGCTAAGGCTCGACTGTGTGAACGTTGATTCAAGACTATGTTAGCTCAGTTTCTCTTAAACTGACCGTTTTAGTCATTATTGGTGTTTGCTGATGTTGATTAGCAGCTGCAGACCTTGAACCGACTCCAAAAGTTACTCGGTTACAGATGCACTTGCAATAATTATTTTCTGAATGTTTCAAGACAATAGGGTTGACTCTTACAGTTAGTGATAAAATTTTACGTCAGGATCTCGTGCAATGAGCAGAGCTTGGACTTTATGTATCACAAGACTCTCAGCTACTACCACACCAGAAAGTAGCTCCATATCTGTAAAACTGGCTGAAATATAGCCATTTTTGTGTTTTCCAATGCCAGCTGGCTCTGGTGGTCAGCTAAAATTGTGTTTGCTCCAAATGGTAAATCATTCATAGACGTGCATGTAGAGATTATTTCTTGGATGTTTTATGGAAATCTATCCTGCGGTTTACGAAGGATTTTGCTAACAGACAGTTTGTGGTAATTCCAATTAGTTATTGGCAACATTTTAAGCAGAGACGTATCACAATCTGTTGGTGCTTATAATATGTGTTGGGGATCGGTCTCAGCTACTAGAACAAAAAAAATCTTAACAAAATATCTGTAAAATTCACATTTTTAACTATTTTTAGGATAACTGGCTGTGGCAGCCATCTTGAATCAGGGTGACTTTAAAAGTTAATCAGCTGTAGATGTTCACACTGGGATTACTTCCTACAAAACCATTAAAATGTGTCTAGTAGTTGTCCGATTTAATGACAGACGCTCACACAAAGCATTATCATGATATTTGGAGGCTAGCAATAAATATAAGTTCATTGCAACATGATGTTTAAGGGAATATATAAGATTTTTATTGATAAAAGTTCACAACATAAAGCATTTGGATTAATTAAGTCCTCATAGATATAGACATAGATTTAAAGAAAATGTGACTATTGTTATACATAGAAACTAAACAACCAATGCCACTAAATATTTACACACAGACTTGTGCTAACACGCCCAGAAGCTAAACAGCAGCAGGTTCAAATAGTCAAACTAAGGAGCAAATAATGTTTTTTTATATAAACACGTTTAATGAAAGCAGACGGTAAAAATATGATCCGCAGACCATTAATGAGAGAATAAATGATCAATTCACCACAGTTAACAGTTACACTACAACATAAAACTGAACACACACAAATATTTGCATTCCTTGTATAAATGTGGCGTCAAGTCAACCCCCCGCTCGCTCACACGCATTCCAGAGAGGATTTGAAGGTTTCCCAGGAGCCTTTACGCTTCATTCAGACAAAAAGAGTCCCTTCACTTTCTCCTCCTCAGAAATACTCTCACGTGTTCTGCTGCATCTTTTAACAGACGTTTTATTGTCATTTTTATCCAAACGCAAACCCCAGAGATGTAAACTTATGAGCATTTGTCAAAATTAAACCCATCAAGGTGGACCTCTCCGGGTTTTTAATGTTTGGCCTGGTAGGTGAGTGAACCAACTGTGCAAGATCAATGGAGAAAGACTTCAGATCATTAGAGACTGGTTGAAGCCAATCCCAGTTAAAATCACCAGCTAAAATAAGTTCATCTGCCGCCAAGGAATCATTAAAATCTTTAAAGCGTCTTTTATCTCAGCTAAATTATAATGAAGGCCTGCAGCTATACAGTTATACAGAAGCCCCTTTAGTAATCTCCATACATTTTAAATGTTTGCTGATGGATTCAGACAAAACCATGAGTGAAATATTGATTTAACAAAAAATTACGACTCCACCACCATTTTTTTGGGGGGGGTCTGTCAATACGACGAACATTGTACCCAGATATGTTAATGTTCTCGTTAGCAATAGTTTTGGTCAACCATGTTTCAGAAATCACAACAATATCCACATCTGTTGAGTTGACCCAAATTATGACCATGTCCATCTTAGATAACAAACATATTGAGAGGAACTATTTTGGAACCAGATGAGGACTTCAAATTAAATGCTGACTGGATACACTGCAACTCAAGGCCTGGATTAGGTTGAACACTACCAGAGACGAGTAATAAAACAATTAACAATCTCTGTTTAGTAACTTTACATGGTAACTATAAGATGTGGTATGACTGCACTGGGTTGACAGGTTCTAAAGTTAAATATGTCTCTGGGCAAGCTGGGTGATAGGTGAACATCATATGTCAGCTGAGATGGTGATAGCACAGATTGCTCAATGGCCAAAGTACAAGTGCGTCCACGAGTGATAACCTGTAGGATGAGCAGGTTATCAGATGTACTCACCATGGAACAAATGCTTGACCCCAAATCCCAAACAACCAATAAAGAGATTAAAATGATGAAAAGAGCCATTTTCCACGACTCTCAGAACTCATCAAATGGAGAAAATGTCATCAGGTAGCCAGGCCCCAACGTGGTCCAATAGCTTCAGCTAACACCACAGCAAACAGCAAAATGGTGTTTCACAGCCGGCGATTTCAAACTGAAGGTGAGCCAACCCCGACTTTCTACCACGTTTACTTTTGCCTTAACTTTAATAAAATAAAAATGTTAAAGAAAAAAAAAGAACAGACACAGAGTGAGAAATGCTGCCATCTTGGATTAGAGTGAGGATGTTGGTTTTTGTGTTGATATTTTAATGGGTTTACTATAATATATATCTTTTTTTAAAGTAAGCACCACCAAACATTGAGGCTGCAGGGTTTTAATGGTGGCGCTCTCGTGATTGACGTCTCTCTCTGGTAGTCATGTCCAATCTTCGGCTCGACTCTGCTCGCTTGGAACCTCGGCCGAGCAGGTCCCAAGAACCGAGCTGGAAACCCCGATGGAAAAACTCTGAAGCTGCGCCGAGTCAAGCCCCGGGAAAAAGGCCAAAAGGGATACGGTCTTCCACTTCTTATGAGAACGGTGATCTTATACAGTGAGAAACTCAGTCAGATACTCTTGGTGCAGCTGAGGACTGAATTAAAGCGCAGAGGGGATCAGGCTGTTGTGGTGGCAGCCTGCAGACTCTGACATTCGTTCTGCAGTCCACGCTGCTGTTTTAAAATGTGCTCTATAAATAAAATTGACGTTTATGTCAAAAGGTTTCATATTATAAGAGTCAGGAACAGGACCTTAAATAAATCAATTTCTGGAGAAAGATGAAACACGAGATCTATACCACACAACAGAAGATGGATAAATAATGAATTAAAATGAGTGACATTTTTGTTTGAAACAATCTTATAAGAGATTAATATATTTGTCATTATTTTCTTTATGTTGTTCTTTTGCCGGAGACATTTTTTGGACATTACAAATTAACCTTTTGAGCTGGACTTGGACTGAAAACAGGAAACGGTCTCCACAAATCTACACCATCTACACCTGAAGCATCACACCATCACCTGATGGACAAGAGATGTGACCGAGGAGGAATCTGTTGACATCATGAAGGGCTCAGGAGAAACATGGAGGCCTAATATTATGCTTTGCAATTAAAAATAAATGCTACTGTTTTTTTGCCTCATAAAAAGGAAATAACACTGAAATGTTGAATGAAGGTGAATGACGCCTATCTGTCTTACTTTAGCAGATTTTATGATTTTACTCAGAATAGCTCACAGAGAGAAAGAGAGAGGGTTCTGTCTGGAGAGATCTTTTGTTTGTTTTTTGATTTCTTTTAAACTGATGAAACCCAGGAGGATGCTGTATGCGCCCTTAAGGCCATCGTCATGAGGGGCGTGAGATGAAGCCGATGTTTCCTACCTGATTGGAAAATTGCCCTGGGTGGGTTTTCCACCACATAAAGCATCCTAACTCGCAAGAGAGGGTTATTGATAAGTGATAATAAAAAAAATCTGTGAAGGGGGGAGAAAAATGATGGAGATGTGAACAGTTTTTCACTTACTGAAGTCAAATGTTCTAACTCATATTACCATGTGTGTGTGTGTGTTAAAGAGTTGTTTTGTCTGGATCATAGTGCTGCAAGAGGCTGCAGCAGTCGTCTGACCTCGCTTTTGTCTGAGAACATTTATAAAAAGATGCTCTTTTAGGCTCACGGTGAGCAGACTTGGGACGGAGCATCATGTAACATTTTGATGCTTGCATTTCAACAGTGCTCCACCTTGCAAGATTAAAACCTGGGATTAAGAAAATTATCTCCTGTGTGGCTATTTATTTAATGAGCTCTTGAACGAATAATAATAAATTATCCTAACACTAACTAACTCTCATCCCTGGGATTTTCTGCTTGATATTACCTTGTAATAAACAGTTAAAACTCTTCCTGTCCCCCTTATTGCTTTGCCACAACAACGTTGTAACACTCGTACTACAGGACAGTCACGTTCCTGTACTAGATAAACTTTTAAAAAGGTCCAAAACAGAAGCGTCACGCGACTAACTTTAAGATTTATATATTTGCAGCTAAACAGAATACTGAGTTTCTTCCGGGGTTACAACCACTGTGACAAACAGAAGTAGACAGAAGGGAATTAATAGCTTTAATATTAATATGGCATGTCGTCTAAGAGTCTATGATTGGGATATTCCTAAAACAACTTGTTTACCTTGAGTTCAACCTAATCAGAGTAACGTTCATTTCAGATCTCCACATCATGTCAAGATGAACAACTGCTCTTTCAAGGTCTGTTGTTGCTGTTTTACTAAATCAGTTTGTGTTTTAGATTTCCTCTGCGGTACAGTCATTGCGCTTCTTACTGTAATGTTCTTATTAATGCAGAAATGACGAGCTCTATCAGTTACTGTATAAATAAATATGAATTAAAATGAACTGTGCTTTTTTTTTTACCCACTGTCAAATGGCACGGCAGAAAACACAAGATGTCAAATATATTTGTACAGGTCTGAAGATGAAATAGGCAACATTCAGTGGCTTGAATAAAAAAATAAGATGTCTCATTTATTCAACTGTTTTCAGACTTCTCAGCACCGAGCTACTGTTTTATCTGCAGTGCTCTGTTACGATTAGGAACAAGGAAGAAATACAAACCACACGAGGATATGAATGGACTGTATTTATATAGCGCCTTTCTATTTAATCAAGATGCTCAAAGTGCTTTACAACACAACCTCGATTACCTCCACACACATTCGTACAGCGCTCTACTAGATCTCTACAAAGATGATATGAACAAATCAATCTATCGAGAGCTTTAAATCACATTCATACACTGAGGGGACACACATCAGAGGCAACGAGGGGTTCGGTGTCTTGCTCAGGGACCTTCAGCATGAGACTGCTGGTGGATTCAAACCCTCAACTCTCCCATTGGAGGACAACTGCTCTAACTGCTGTAAGTAAAATATACAGCCTACACATTCCAACTTTGTTCTCTAATTTATATTTTAAGTTGTTGAATACTTTTGATGTTCCTTCTGGGATGCGTGGATTAAAATAAAGGATAAATTTCGACTGGTGAGCTCAGACAGAGTGAAAATTATTCAGGCACAAATGAAAATCAATTTATAAAACAAGCAGTTAATATTCAGAAGGTTTTAGGCCTGAGAAGTTATAAATTATACTTTTTTCCCCTCATTCCTGATTTAAAAACGAACCATTAGAAATTTTCCATATAAAAACACATAAATGTGGAAAAAGGTCTTTTGTTTTTTCCTAATCAAAGAGCAGGCACCAAAACAGGCGGATGAATGAGGTTCCATGACTTCACCTAAAAACATTTCTACCGGACAAGGAAGCCTAAAAATGGTCCGCCTGCTCCCAGCAGCTCACCAGTTACCACACTGGACTCCCACGGTGCGTAAGTTGTTATTTCCAGCTGAGCCTTGGTGATAACTACACCCAGTGTGTCTGAGTGAGTGGAGCTGACATGGAGGAACATTTGGCCGGTGACATTCGTTTCCGTTTTTAACTCCGAAGACCGTAGATGCCACGTCCCCTTTCCACAATTACCCTCAACTATGTCAGCTGTCGTTTTCCGCAATTACCGGGTCAGAGCTGATCACAGGAAGTGAATCCTGAGCAAATACGACTGCTTCATCAAACAAAAGAGACCAAACTTTACCTGACAAAGATGTTTATTCAGTAGAGTGCTGGGCTCTAATAAAGAGACTTAGATTTGTTAAAGATGCTGAACAGTTTGAAAAGAACATCCTTCAATACTCAGATTATTAAAGCATTAACTAACGGTGCTTTGGAGCAGGAATGCGTCACAGAAATGGGCTAAAATGTTGCTTTAAAATTAGCAGCCTCCTGGATATCTTATAATAATAATAATAATAATAATAATAATGTCATCACAATGTCAGCACTGTATGTTTCCATACAATGGCGAAATTAGTCTCTGCACCCATCCACCACCAGGTGGTGCAGTGGGCAGCTATTGAAAGCGCCCGGGGGGCATTTTGGGGATTAGACGTGCTGCCCAGAGACGCCAAAAACTATAATGAATACTTTATTGGATCAAATATATACAAAAATGTAATACAAGCCATAATTAATCTGAAACAAAAAGCATTTAAATGTGTTTTGTAGTTTAAGCTCAGGAAGCTAGCTGTTAGAATTGAGTTTAATTGCTTAATTAGTTATTTTAATTTGAACGCGAACACCTAATTACAGGTGGAAATGTTGTCTGTGTTTAAACATTCATCTCACAAGTTACAGATTTTGTAAATTCAGATTAGTGACTCTTGTGAGTATCTTGACCCAAACATCAAAGTTTTAAAAGGTAAATCGTGCGAGTCTGCGGCTGTTCAGGAACAGCGTTCACAAGGGAGTCCCCAAAACGTCTCAAAACATTTGCGGAGGTCCTCAGTTTTCTTAACGTGACTTGCACAGGCTCAGAGTCTCGTTGCTTGAAAATTAAGCATATTAAATATAAATAATATGCGCAACAAACTTTCAGAAGAGTTCAGAGATGTTGAGGTGTCTCAAACCCATCTCAATTTAGTTTCCCGGAATTTGAAAGATGTAAATTAGGGCTCAACTCTAACATTTAAGGTTACAAGTCTAAAAAAAACACAACGATAAATATTATTTACTGTTCAAGTCTGCCTCTCCATTACATAAGTGCACACCAGTACATTAAATCATAAATATGGGGGCGGTTGCCATAATTTATATACATCAAGCTCAGGCGGCGAGATGGATACGGGCAACTAAATAATGTGCAAGACCAAGTATACAATTTTGCAAGCTGTGCACACAAAAATAGGCAAAGTAGGCAATTAAGACTGATACCCAGCCAGTTTTCTCACCCATCAGAAGAGGGGTCACATCTGTGAATTAGATTAACAAAGACCTCAACAAACCCCTACTGTTAAGGTGTGATAGGTCAATCTGCATATGCATGTGCGTATCTTATCTCAGCGTTATAACCCGAACCCCTCACTCACTGCTCTTTGAATTGAGAAAGCTCCTCGGATGAGAAGCCAAACGTCTTCTGTTCTGAGACTACAATAGAAATATACCCATTTTCTTACAATTCTGAGTCACCAACTAACCTGAGCATCTTTTTAAGTCACGGTGAAGGACGTCGTGTCGGCACGAGCGTGGGCTGTAACGTTCAAGCCATTCGTGCCAAAAGTCAGACTGAAACATTTCTCATTTTAGTGGTTTAATATATAATTTCACGACGATAACTGAAAAATGCCCTTCTATAAAGAGCAGCTGTCGTGATGTTTGAACGAGTGTAAAGAGATTTATATAGTTACTCCCAATGCAAACAAAATAGCGCCAAGCAGAGAAACTAACGGGAGTTTTGACTTGTTCTTGAGGTAAATGTGAGGCCGTCGTACTGAACTGAAGCCGGTGAGTGAGTATTTGCTGAGAAACTGGTGAAGTGCAGAGCGGAGATGTGGCTTTACGTGGGTGGCGACGCACACGTCTGTTGCACCGTGGTGTGCTGAGCTCGACAGAAACAAACAAACACAACACAGGCACCCAGTGGTTCTGAACGAGCACTTTGAATTGAAGGACACACTTCCAATTTACACAAAAACGTGTCTCAAAATAGAATAAACAAAAACACATCTGACGCTTTAACTCTTCCTAATATGGTTAGCGTGTGTGTGGTCATACCTCAGTGTCATACGCTCACACGGGACTGGGGTCTTCAAAAAAGGGCGACTAGAAGAGAGAAAGAATGAAAATGAACAAAAGTAACACTTATCTGCCCATCAACAAGTGATCAATGGCCCAGACAAGCAACGACCTTGATTTGTGACCTTGACCTTAGAGCTCAGGTGAAGAAAAGATTATGAGACGCACTGTTTAGTGGTGGTACAAATCGAAAGACGAGCAAACGCCCTTTATAACATTTGACCTTGACCTCTATGCTGGGGTGATGAAAAGAGAACACGACAATGTCTTAGTGATGAAGCAGATGTGCGTGAAGCTTCAACCATAATATGTACCAGACTACATCTGCAATAAAAATAAACATTTATAAAGTTGTTGCAGCAGGTCAATAAAAGGCTCTTTAGGGAAACTCTAATGCTGAGGATGAGATGGGGCAGAGGAAGGGCAGCCGACTCGGGACGTGAAAGTCGCAGGTTCGATCTCCAGCCATTCCCACGTGTCATGTCTGAGCAGGACACCTAATCCCTAATTGCTTCCCAGGCGCTTACATAGCTGCACACTGCTCAGGTGTGACGGGTTAAATGCAGAGAACCAATTTAGCCATTGTATGGGAACATACAACGATGACAACACACAGCAGTTTATTAATATATACATATATTTATTATAACTTTGTATATGTATTATATATATTCCATTTTTATACAGCGCCAAGTCACAACAGAAGTCGTCTCAGGGCACTGAACAGAAACGTTTAACACTATTTATCTGAGTATTTATACATACAGTTATATATATATATATATATCAAACTATTTGTCTGGAGACAAAACAGTATGGTAATGCTAAAACAAATTCTCCGTACCTTTAGTAAAGACCAATTTTAAAACTCCCAACAATGGTCTGCATTGAAGTTTTATTCAAACTTGATGTTGAGACCGAATCTATTCCACGGTTTTTCTTTGACTTTTACTGTCAACACTGAAAAAAAGTAAGCAAAGCCCATAAATGACTGTTCATTTGCACTTCATCCCGGGATGATGTGTGTGAGTTATTTACATTTTAACAGCAGATGTTCAACACGTTCCACTTGTTATTTGCAATTAATATGTTTCCTAAGAGCTGGAACCAGAGTATAAAAATGTTACAATTGAAGGGATTGACTGCAGAGTGGATCTGTTTGGTTGCTTTTGCAGATAATAGGAAAATGCAGTAAATACTGATCAGCTAATAAATACCATGAAAACTTTTTCTGAAATGGTTTCACTGCAAAATTTTTAAACGAAGAATAAAACTATCCGCATTCTCCCGGCTGACTTTAAAAACAATAGTTTACTTTTTATTTTGTTTTATTTCAAAACGTTTCAGCACAAAAAAAGAAACTGTCCAGATGACCTGACTGAAAAATGTTGGATTGTATACCTGGATTATTGAGCATGGACTTTGTTGTTTTCAACCAGTTTGACACGACTGTCAACAAGGAAGAGGGACGGCAATGGAGGAGGGGGCGTACCAAAGACACCATCTTATCACAAGCAGAACTGGTTTGTTCCACTTTGGAGTAAGCTGTTGGGGGAAGAATCAGTTTTGTTGTGCGTTTCCTTGACTGATGAAGCCTTCTGGATCGAAGGCGAAACGTTTCAGCACAAAAAAAAAAGAAACTGTCCAGATGACCTGACTGAAAAATGTTGGGTTTACTTTTTATTGAACGTGTTTATAATCTTTATAGAAACCCGTCTACATTTTTTTAAAGGTTCGTCTTTTTTGTTTACGTTGGTGTTTTTTAGGGTGTTGGTTTGTCGGATAGTTTTAACGTGTCAGTACTGGGTGTAAGACAAAAAACTGCTTGGATCGTGTATATTCCAGTTTCTAAATCAAACTGACATGAAAACAAAGTAAATAATGGTAGAGATATTAGATATTATTATAAATATATATGTTAGATAGTATATAGCCAGATACTATTACTATTATTAGTAGTAATAAAAGTAATTCAGCTGTAGATGTCAACCTTAAAGATTACTTCTGAAAGATTCCCTCATGAGATATTTTGCTAACAGTACAAACAAACTCAGGAACGGGCAAAAACACTATTGTTCCACCTTTATCTTCAGTGGTAAGACATAAAAAGACTTCAATCAATTACTTTTGTTGCTAATGGGACCCCAGTGCCTCCTTTCATTGTAAAAATCAATTTAAGCAAAATAATTGATATAACCATAAAAATCTGCTTAAAGTTCCCCAGACTGAAGTCAGTTTGAGGTTACCATAATTACCGTTACATCAGGGCAGACCACCCAACCGGTGCACCTGTTAAATAACAGCCACCGCGCTCCCGTTTCTGAAAGTGGGTTTGTGTGCAGACCCACACCTGAGCAAAACCAGAAAACAAGCATGACGCTCACCTAAAATATCCACGCCCGTCAGACCTAAACAAAGCCGAGGTCAGAAAACGTTGAACTCACCGCCGTGTTCCGAGGATAAATCCAACAACCAGAGTGTGTTCTGGTCAACGTAAGGAGCAACGCCAAGACAGAGCTGGGCGTCTATCAGACGAGGGGGTACTGAAGAGGGGGAAGAGGGTGTTTACCATACACAACATGGATGCCGCATGACCAAATTACCACTCGCAGCTGTCCACCGTCCTCACGGCCTGCTGACAGGGCCTGAGCAGAGTGTGTTGAAACTTTAGACACCAACATCGCTGAAGAGCCAGTGAACGCTATTCATCTTTTAAATGACCCTTTACTGTATCACAAATGCTTTTTCAGGCTTTCTGACTGGACGCGGAAACAGTTTTCTACATGAACTGTATGAAAAAGTGAAAATTCCAGGAAACAACCGTGTAATTTGTGGGTGTGACTGCATCGCTGGTAGTTCTTCTCAGCCTGGACGGTCCTGAGATGTTTGCATGGTGATGAGGAGCAAATAAACAGCCACTTACTTACCTAAATGTTTTTATTTGTATTTATTTGTTCCAATGTGGGGTTGACCGAAGCAGGAGTGAAGAAGTATTTGTTGTAAATGTAATGCTACTTATGGTTTAAATGGAAACTTTAACGCTCCTGCTCAAATGCCACAACTTTTTTTTTTTACCAGTAAGTTATAAAGAGACAAACGTAAATATTCAAAATATAAAAAAAGGTTCATTGTCACCTCAATGACAGCTTCAAACTTTCTAGATTTAGTTGACAGACGCCAAAAAAACACTGCAGGAAAAAAAAGAAACATCACTGTAACGCCACTTTAAACGGTGATGTCACTTTATCTGTGCTGCTGATTTTAAGCTGCTGTATTCTTTTCATATACCCATCTGCTCACAGTTCAGCCTGCTGTTCTATACTGTATTATTTAACCTTATTACTAATAACGTAAAATCATACAGTAATACATTAGTGTTATCGTTTTAATTAAATGCTCTATTACACTGTTGTTTAATCTTTTCATCTTGTCAGTTACATAATTTAAACAAAACTTATGCCCATTCATATCAATAGAAAATCGTTCTGAATCAAAAATAGATTCTGAATCGCACTGTTACAATAAAAATCAGAATAGAATCGATTCGCACCCCTAAAAGACAATATTGAAAAGGTCACAAAGACCAAACAAAAAGGAACCGTCCATCCATCATCTTCCTCTTGTTCTGAAGTCGGGTCGCGGGGGCAGCAGCTTGAGCAGGGAGGTCCAGCATCTCTTTCCACAGCCACCTCTTCCAGCTCTTCTGGGAGGACCCCAAGCCGTTTCCAGGCCAACAGTCTCTCCAGCGTGTCCTGGGTCTTCCCTGAAGTCTCCTCCCGATTGGACATCCTCGAAGCACCTCCATGGGGAGGCGCCCAATGCCTGAACCACCTCAACTGGCTCCTCTCGATGTGGAGGAGCAGCGGTTCTACTCCGAGTCTCTCCTGATAACTGAACTTCTCACCCTGTCTCTGTTAGTCACTGCCCAAAGTTCATGACCACAGGTGAGGCTAGGAACCAACTGGTAAACAGAGAGCTTTGCCTTACGGCTCAGCTCCCTCTTCACCACAATGGACCGATACAAAGTCCACAATACTGCACACACCAATCCGTCTGTCAATCTCACGCTCCGTTCTTCCCTCACTCATGAACAACACCCCGAGATATTTGAACTCCTCCACTTGAAGCAGAACGTCTCACCCTCGACGGGCTCAGCCCGAAGGAGCAACACGGGTTTGCCTTCCTGTGGGCCCACCACCTGCAGGAGGGGCCATACAAGTTGCCATGAGCAGTGGCCGAAGGCGGGGGGCCTTGGAGCTCTCAGCTGGCTCTTGGTACATGGAAAAATAAAAATAAGAAGGAAAACTCCACACATTTTTCACATACGTGTTCTTAAATTATAAATATGTAACTAGGTGCCATCTACCACGTGTGTTTGTTTAGCTACAAAAACAGGTTCAACTTACTGGCTATACTTGTTGACTACTAACCAGCCTAGTGCAGGTAAATCACGTGAATCAAGTTCACACGTGGTTTTAGCAGATTCAGCCAACTGATTTGTTTGCGTTGAGCGTGGACCCGCATTTCTGGATTGTATTCAAATTATCTAGAGAACTACTGGAGTAAATCATTTAATTCCATATTTTAATAATATATCATGCAATAAGCTCATAGGAACTGCCAGAAGGGTGAAAGCTTTTACTTCTTAATCTGAGCACCTCAAAATATAATAAAGATATTACAAGTAATATAACATCATTAGAATATGGTAGAATAGTAGTCCACAGAAAACACCCACTACTACAACAATTACCGTACAAGCAGGGTGAACTGAAAGTAAAACTCAGTCCGATTCAGTCTCTCTCGACCTCAGGTGTCGGAGCTGCCACAGAGACAACCCAACCGACCCGCCCGGACCTTGATGTTGTCACCATGCAGGCGAAAAGAGAAGCAACGCAGCTCTGGTTACACGTTTAGGACGGACAGTCCGCATGCCGAGGGTGCCTGGACGAGCGGTGCAGGACTGGCACTGAAACAAGTGTCTGAAAAGACCCGAACAGCAGCCCATAGCAGTTCTAACGCGATTCAAATAAACAAATTAAACTTTGTTCTGTGTATTTTAAGCTCCGAGGAGTTATCCAAAACATTCATTCCTTCATGGAAGTCATGAACAAAAGATCCTGAATGTATTTACAGTCAAACCAAAGGCTTCCACACCTTCTCTGAAGCTAAATACTACCAAAAGAGTCCCTGCTGCAGGAACAATACAGACTTTAATGTGATATTTAAACTACTTTAAAGTGATGGGGTGGATAAAAAGCCTTTCAAACTCTTTCGTGGATCATATTTCTCACTTGTACTTGAAGCAACACGCCCTCACCAACACAGGCCCTCGCATTGTTTAGCTCATTGCTTTTTTTTTTCCAGTCAGGATATCCAATGTTATACTAAAGTAGCACATAATGACAGCATGTGTGTCCTTTTATACATCAGCCTTAACTCCGGCTGATTTACATTTTCAACGATCCAAATGGAGAGCGACAAGCCGGGGCAGAGGCTGAGGAAGATGTAGACAAGTAAGGGAAAACGAGCTGAATTAAAGAAGTCGGAAGGAAGCGAAGAAGAGAGAAACTGAGACGGTTAAAGAAGCAGGAAGAGCGTCAAAGACAAAACACTTAAATAAAGAAAACACAGCACAAAGAGACAGGAAGTGAAAGTTAAGTTCTATGATAGAGAGAGAATCAAACCGTCAGGATGCTCGTTGTTGGGTTGAACACGTTCTACCCAACATCAGTGTCGGAGTCTGAGCTGTTTTGCATATTCTAATCTGAGCAAAGCCATTTGCTGTGATTGCACTTAAACGTGCAAGGCTGCAGAGAGGATATACAAACAGGAGAGCTGGGCAAACATCCTGCGGTGTCGACGACCTCAAAATAACCTGCGCAGGAATTCAGACCAAGCCGCTATGCAAATACACACCCAAGCAGAGGCATAAAAAGACAATTACCTGCAAGAAACAAACGGGTCTTATCATTTCCCACTCGCGGCGACGCTTCAAACTACTTAACTCGGAAGCACCAATCATGGAAAAAACATTGACCTGCTGAAGAGCTCCAAGGTCCCTGAGAATGTTACAATTACTCCTACGTGCAAAATGAAGAACGCTTTAATTTGACTGTAATTTAATCCCTGGGAAATTACATAAACCAGAGTAATCACAGGTTGCATCCTCACTGCGATGATCTTCCCACCCACAGCGAAGACGGCGACACGCTCCAGCGCCGCTCTAAACCGAGCTCAAGTGTTTCCACGTGCAATAAAAAGAAAAGATGCTGTTAAAACACTACAAAGAGCTCCCTGCAGGTAAACCTAGTTATTATGTGCAGACTGGTGGATGATAGAAAAAGTGGGGGGGCTAATTCTTGTTTGGCTTTTCATTTTGTCAAATTTGGGTGTAAACAAATGTGTTTACATAAAAGGTCAGCTTAGCAAGACATCTCACTTCAGCTGATTATACTCAGTTATAATTTGTTTCTACTTGTTTTTTTTAGTAGTAGTACTTATTTCATTCATGTTTTCGTGCTTTGTTACATTTTTAATACCTTCATCTGGTGTTTCCTCTATAAAGAACATTTCTTTCAGTCCCCCACATGTGAGATATTATTGTTTAATACTTCTACAAGTCATTGCTGTTTTAAATTAACTTGTTTGTTGCTTTCCTTTTTCAGTTCTGTGTATCTGGTGTAAAACTTGGTGCGTGTGAAAGGTGCTTTATAAAGTTTGACTGATTATTTGATTGATTACCATAATGCTGATCAGTTTCTTTCCAAAAGCTACTATAAATAAACTTTCACAATATCTATAACTGGAAATATCCATATTATTCATTTACTGTAACCGTTACACATTTGCACTTTTCAATTCATAATGCTAAAGAATGTCATCTTTATCTTCTATAATAAATAAAAAATCCTAATAATTTTTTTTTTATATATATGCAATATTAATATCACCAATTTTTACCTTCTTGGTTATTTTACCTTTTCACTTTTTTTAAACACAGCTGTGAAGGACATGTGGAATTATATTGCAGTACTATATAATGACAATCAAGGAGATATTGCACAATATTTGTACACTGCTTTTATAATATCTTTGAAATGGTTAGCCGAATTTCTTAACGGACGGTTAGGATTTCAGGAAAGCATTAATATATCCGGTCCAACTTTAAATGTTGGAGAAAAAGCCTGATGAAACAACAATTGCCTGGTTTTTGAATGGAATGTCGTTCCTGCCACAGATGGAAGGCACGAAAACCAATTTTGATTTAAAAAAAAGTGGGCTTGACTTATCTGGCACAGACACCCCTTTTTAAAAAAACAACAAAACACCATCGATAATATACAATGGGCTCCCATTAAAGCGATAATAAATAAATAAAAACAAGGTTTGTGTAA